TTTACCAACAGGCCATACGAATAACCACCAATTCAAATTTTCATATCTAAAAGCATGTTTGGTAAATATTCAACAAACTAAATTTAAACTAGAAATGTGCCCATAGGACACGGTTGCCCCCACACTCCTTTGTTTTGTTAATCTTATGACTCTAGGTCAAATACTTTTTGGGCTACATGTTGAAAACTAAAAATCTTTTACTAAGTAAAGGGCAAGAACTTTACAAATACTGAATAAAACCACAAGCAAACCCAAAGGTGCATAAAAACTCACGCTGACCAACATTCTTGTAAACTTTCAGGTCTACAGGTCAAATTCTATGCATGAACAAGTTGAAAATTGCAAACTTATACTTAGTCAAGGGCAATAACTCTAACAAAACTGAAAAAAATCCACATACAAAATCCCAGGTGCATAGCTCCACAATGATGTTGATCATTATTCCTGTAAAGTTGGTTGATTCTAACTCAAGCACTGAAGGAACAAATAACACAACACAATGAAACGTTTTTTATTAAGTCAAGGCAATAACTCTACAAATACTGGATAAATCCACAAGCGAAACCCAAGGTGCACCACTACACATGCTGACCAACAATTCTTGTTAAGTTTCACGACTCTAGATTAATAAATTTTGAGCTATGTACAACACAAATTGAAAATTGAAAATTTTCACTAAGTCAAGGGCAATAACTCTGACAAAACATATACATTCACAAGGGAAACCCCAGGTGCACAACTTCACATGCTGATCAACATTCCTGTAAAGTTTCATGACTCAAGGTCAAAAACTTTTTGAGTTATGTGTGACCAAGTTGAAAATTGCAAATTTTTATTAAGTCAAGGGCAATAACTCTAAAAAAACAAGAATCTGTGTTTGATAAACACAAATGCCCCCGCACTCACTGTTGTCAATAATTTAACTTTAGAGGGTGAAGTAGCTAATTTGTATGGAAGACAAAATTACATTTTGCCACTTTTATGACAATTATTTCATATTAGGCCTACTTTCTTTAGGATATAAGTATCTAACAATATCATGCTCTTACACTGTTATGAAGTTCATGTTTGCCCTTTTAAAGAAATAAAACTTCATTCATTTCATTCTATTCTATGTATGGGCAAAAGTGTAAAAAATCTATTTTTAGCACTGGTGACCTTGACCCAACTGACCCCTAACTCCATCCAAAGGAAGAATATCATGCAACTTATTTTCCTACCAAATATGAAATAAATCTGTCAATATATAAAGGCTGTATGGGCAAAAGTGTAAAAATCTATTTCTAGCACTGTTGACCTTGACCCAACTGACCCCTTACTCCATCCAAAGGAAGAATATCATACAACTTATTTTCCTACAAAATATGAAATAAATCTGTCAATATATAAAGGCTGTATGGGCAAAAGTGTAAAAATCTATTTCTAGCACTGTTGACCTTGACCCAACTGACCCCTAACTCCATCCAAAGGAAGAATACCATGTAAGTTATCTTCCTACCAATTATAATACAAATCTGTCAATTAATAAAGGCTGTATGAACAAGTGTAAAAATCTATTTTTAGCACTGGTGACCTTGACCCAACTGACCCCTACCTCCATCCAAATGAAATACCTCAATTTTATGTTCCTACAAAATATACAAGACATCTGTCGATAGAATAAGGTTAAAGATATACTATGCTCATCTTTTAGTGAAACAAGAACCGGTTGAACCGGGTGATGCTCCCCGAGAAGGTTCTGGACACAGGAAAGTATAAAAAATATGAACAAAGGGCAATAACTCCAAAATTAGACCAGGCTTTGTTTAGGTTCTTTAAGCGTTGCAGGTTCTATCCAATTATATCTAGCTACCTACAAAGTTTCATGTTGATATCTCTAATAGTTTTAAAGTAATGTCCAGGACAAAAGTCAAAAAGTAAAAATAAACAAAGGGCAATTACTTCAAAATAAGGCAAGGCAGAGTAATGATTTTTAAGCACTGCACTTCCACCCAATGAGACCTATCTATCTACAAAGTTTCATGTTGATATCTCTTATAATTTTAGAGTAATGTCCCAGACAAAGTTCAAAGTGTCAAAATGAACAAAGGGCAATAACTCCAAAAGTAGGCTAGACAGTGTTACAGTTCTTGTGCACTGCAAACTTACTCAATGAGATCTATCTACCTACAAAGTTTCATGTTGATATCTCTTATACATTAAGAGTTATGTCGCGGACAAAGTTAAAAGTGTAAAAATAAACAAAGGGGGATAATTAAAAAATTAGGCAAGGTAGAGTTACGGTTCTTGTGCACTGCACTTCTACTCAATGAGATCTATCTACCTACAAAGTTTCATGTTGATACCTCTTATACTTTTAGAGTTATGTCCAGGACAAATTTCAAATTGTAAAATAAACAAAGGGGGATAATTCAAAAATTAGGCAAGGCAGTTACGGTTCTTGTGCATTGCACATCTACTCAATGAGATCTATCTACCTACAAAGTTTCATGTTGATACCTCTTATACTTTTAGAGTTATGTCCCGGACAAAGTTCAAAGTGTAAAATAAACAAAGGGGGATAATTAATAAAATAAGGCAAGGCAGAGTTACGGTTCTTGTGCACTGCACTTCTACTCAATGAGATCTATCTAACTACAATGTTTTCATGTTTGATACCTCTTATACTTTTAGAGTTATGTCCCGGACAAAGTTAAAAGTGTAAAAAAAACAAAGGGGGATAATTCAAAAATTAGGCAAGGCAGAGTTACGGTTCTTGTGCACTGCACACCTACTCAATGAGATCTATTTACCTACAAAATTTCATGTTGATACTCTTATACTTTTAGAGTTATGTCCCGGACAAAGTTCAAAGTGTAAAATAAACAAAGGGGGATAATTCAAAAATTAGGCAAGGGTAGAGTTACGGTTTCTTGTGCACTGCACTTTTACTCAATGAGATCTATCTACCTACAAAGTTTCATGTTGATACCTCTTATACTTTTAGAGTTATGTCCCGGACAAAGTTCAAAGTGTAAAATAAACAAAGGGGGTAATTCAAAAATTAGGCAATGCAGAGTTACGGTTCTTGTGCACTGCACACCTACTCAATGAGATCTATCTACCTACAAAGTTTTCATGTTGATACCTCTTATACTTTTAGAGTTATGTCCCGGACAAAGTTCAAAGTGTAAAATAAATAAAGGGGGATAATTCAAAAATTAGGCAAGGCAGAGTTACAGTTCTTGTGCACTGCACTTCTACTCAATGAGATCTATCTACCTACAAAGTTTCATGTTGATACCTCTTATACTTTTAGAGTTATGTCCCGGACAATGTTCAAAGTGTAAAAATAAACAAAGGGGAATAATTCAAAAATTAGGCAAGGCAGAGTTACGGTTCTTGTGCACTGCACTTCTACTCAATGAGATCTATCTACCTACAAAGTTTCATGTTGATACCTCTTGTTGTTACAAAGTTATGTCCCGGACAAGAAAAGGGGACAGACGGACGGGCGGACGGAAAGACGGACGGACGGACGGACAAGGCGGCGACTATATGCTCCCCCGAAATTTTTTCGGGGAGCATAAAAATTTAATCACAGAAATTTGTTGAAATCTATGAAATTCTGACTGAATATGTCTAATTTGAATAAAAGAATCAATAAACTATGTATGAGAAGCTGCATTCAGAATATCGGGTCAAGTAAAGTTGGTCTTTTCTTTAAAAAAAACTGCCAGTTTTTTTTAATGACACTATATTTTTATATTGTGACCACCAATAGTTTTTAGAATTTTAAACATAATAATTATTATATCTACATTGTATGAAGTCGAAACATGTTTATTTTATGTTTACTAAGAGACTGTGTAGCAATTATCAATATTTTCAAATATCAAATTTGAGCATAGTATATCTTTAATATACCTGTAAAAAATCGATTTTTGACATTGGTGACCTTGACCCAAATGACCCCTTACTAAAGGAAAAGTAAGAGGACCTCCCTTAGTATGACTATTATAAACATGAAAGACATTAACTTAAAAATAAAGCTTGAGCAGAAATGTTTAGATTTATTTTTTAACAAGTGACCTTGACCTTGACCTAGAGACGCCTAACACCACAAAAAATTAGAGGACCGTTAAAGGTATCCACCTACCAAATATGAAAGATATCATTAAATAAATTAAGTAATTAGGTGAAATTTTTTGATAAATCCAACTTGGCGGAATAGGTTAACCATACAAGGCCCTATTTTCAAAGTGATAAAAAGGGAAATTACTGGGAAAATGGATGGCACATTTATATAACTTGGCAATATTATGTACATTGTATTGATAAGTAAGTGTGAAAATTATTAAGCCATTAGTTCAGATAGAACACAAGATATTTCCAACTTGCCGGTTTAGGTTAACCATTATTCATTTTCTAAGTGCTGAAAAGGGCCATAACTTGGTGCAAATGGAAGCCATAGTTATGTAACTTGCCCAGATCATATACTTTGTATGGATTAGTAAGTGTGTAAATTATGAAGCCATTGGTATAGGTAGAACTTAAGAAAAATCAAACTTGCCGTTCTAGGTTAACCTCGTATGGACAAACGGACGGACGGACAGACGGTTCAATTACTATATGCCCTGAGCATAAAAATAATAAATAAATCCACACGAAAATACCCAGGTGCACAACTACACATGCTGAGCAACAACTCCTGTAAGGTTTCATGACTCTAGGTCAGATACTTTTTGTGTTACGTGTGACACAAGTTGAAATTTGCAAATTTTTACTATGTGAAGGACAATAACTCTAAAAATACTACATAAATTCATGCGAAAAATACCAAGGTGCACAACTTCACATGCTGAGCAACATTCCTGTAAGGTTTCATGACTCTAGGTCATATACTTTTTGAGCAACCTGCGACACAAAATGAGAACGGACGGACAGAAGGACAGACAGATGGACAATTGTAAATCTAAATGCCCCCCTAAAGTGGGGGCACAAAAATAAAACCAAACTGATTATAGTTTAAAATCTTTAATTCAGCTGTAGGATAATAAACATATCTCTTACTTTAAGACATATTTTAATAAATGCGAGCAAAATACTACAGTATTATATTATTCTATAAAATAGAAACTATAATCATCCAGTAAAAATTGAATAATATACATATAGGCCATGTTTCATAGATCTATAAACTTTGCAAAATCAGAACAATAATTTAATTCTAAAGATAATTGAATTATAAATATTAGTCCCATGACATCAGTGTTTTCAACACAAGTTCATACTCAAATAATTTATATAATTTATATTTAATAAGAAGCATGATGTAACAACTATAACTGTTGTTAATGTAAAAACTGTAATTAAATATATATATAGGACTTTAAAAATGCATGTCACAATAAACTTTTTGCATTATCTTAACCATTTCTGGGTTGGTTTGTACCGGTAACAGAATTTGATATAAATAAATAGAATCTTACACAAATTGCCATTTACTTCATAAATAGACTTAAAACCAAAAAAAAAAAATACTACAAAGCTCATCACATACATGACTGACACCTCAAAAACTAGACTTATTTAACCTTAAACCTGCTGGATTTACGAAATGGGACTTGCTCTGCTTTGAACTTGGAACAGTCCATCAGAATTTTAAGGGATTTCATAATCGAGCTACCATCAGTATAGAGCAGACGGCACCGACTGGCTAAAACTGGTTCCAGGCTAGAACTGGTTCCAGCAGGTTAAGGATTAATCTTTTTCATTTCTCTGTAAATCATCACTCACTCTTATTAATCACATGGTCAAAGATTAGGTGAATCACATTTTACTTTTAAAAAAAAAACATGGTTGTAAAAAAAAAAAACTAAATAAGAGTTATGGCCCTTTGGACCTCTTATTACAATCATGCATAAGCTTAACTAAGGTGGACTTTCTATGACATTCATTTATAATACATATTTGTTTTAAAATATCAATAAAGGCAAAAATGCACACTAAAGGACAAGTTATTAAAATTACGAGACAGAAATAGTTTTAAAAGAACTAATAGAAGATAGATGGACATGAAATAGAAATGGGGAAAGGAAGTCAGAAAAAACAGTGGGCAAGTCATAGAGACGCATTCTTAAAATGCAAGAATCATAATTAATTCTGTTGCAACAGTTAATAAATATGTAACAATATCAAAAACAATTAAACCTAAAATAACTATAATCAAAAAAAAAAAAAATCTTTACTTTCCCAAGCCACTCAAATACAGGCATCTGACCATCGTCAGCCAGAACACTTATGTAGTCTGACCAAACTTTTACAATGTTTGCTGTAAACACTATTCTATAAAGTTTGATATTGGAATCCATATAAATTACTATGGATATTTCCAAACATCAGCAACAAGTTCAATTCATCACATTATTATGATAAAGGTAGAAGGCAGCGCATGGCAAGATTTGACTCGTAGCACAATAAGTTTCTATTCTATGTACAGATAAACAAAATACAACACTATCATCTAATAAGCTATTAGAAGCCATATCTTACAATTTGTTTTGTTGTTAAGTTTCTGTTAAGACCATACGGCAACATTCCAGCTTAACTGACAGAGGAAGAACTCGAGGTGCCACTCACTGCAATACTTCGGACAACAGAAGACACCTCAGAACAAACCACTATCCACTAACTATCCTGAAGACAGCTGGATAGCTTCCTCACATAAAAGAGTTGCAAGTCTTTGGTGTGGTTCAAACCCCTAACGATGAGGAGCAAGTGGCTTGAATTCAGCCACTCTAACCACTCAGCTACAAAGGCCGCACAAATTAATCAATATAATCTCAACTCGTATAAATATCTAAAATAACAACAAGTATAACATTGTTAACAACCAATAGCATGCATTTCTAGTGAGCATGTACCACTTACTGAAATAGTCAATGCAATTTACGTATAACACAACTAAACCCACATGAATTGATACTACTTATGCACATAGCATTTCTCATTTATACAATATATTTCCAAAACCATTTTAGAGATGCATTGATCTTAGGTGCATTTTGTTTCAATATTTTCAACCTTTGTTTTGTTGCAAGTGGTTTGTTTTTCGTATAAATATCTAACGATGCATTTCTCTCACAAATATATCCTTTTTCAATTATGATAAGTGTTGTTTTTTCCCTAGAATCTTCCAGTCAATTTTTGTCGTTTTGTGTAAGTGTCAGCATAATGTCCACCTAAACCCTGTGAATGTTGACCTATATAATCTCCTTCTGGACTCGGCTCCGGTGACGGCAATACGTGGGAAAACGGCCTTTTCTGGCCTTGTGGAGTGGCCTGAAAATCATAGTATTAAAACAATCCATTTAAAATATGTTAATTATCATTTCATTTCAATATACGACTTATGAATAGAATAGAAGATTCATAATCATAACAGTATCACCTTGCTAAGCCTCGTCTTCTTTAATTAAAACAAAAACACACAAAAAAAGGTTATCACATTACAATAATTTGCTCAGGTGACCTGTATTTACAGCAAATTGAATTTGAGGATATTGCTTATTTTTTTAGGTTTAATTGTGTTGTTTGTGTCAACGAATGTATTATTAAAATAGCAATACTAACACAGTAAGACTTTCAATAAGGAAAAAATAAGAGACAAAAGTTGTGTTATTCATTCCTAAAATGACTAAATAAACACTAGATCTATGAACTTATTTATTAAAAGGCTAAAAATGCTTTTGTTTTCATTCTCAAAGGTTTTTATCTTTTGTGTTCTGATTTCCAAAAAATTGCTCACTGGTCAATAACCAGAACCATCTTTTGCTTCTGTTGCTTTTTGGCAGCATTAGTACAGTTACAGTGAAAAAGTATTAAGTGTAGAAGTAAAAATAATACTCAACAGTCTAATATTTTTAATTACAATTGACTTCAAATTCAGCACTACTTCAGGTGATAAGTATATAACACTTTAAAACAATAACTTACAACATTATAAACACTACGTTTGCCCTTTTCTAAGTAAGAATATTCTTTTTTTATGAGACTTTAAACAGCTTTTAAGTATTTAAAATGTAACTACTGATTTTTTAAACTAGTAAAAAAAATTTCTACTTGGTAAAATAATGTTAAATACTGGACACAAAATGTTAAAAAAGTAGAAATTTAACATATCCCTAAACTTACAAGATTAGATTGTGTTGTTCCAGCACCACTTGCTGAAAATAATGAAGGAATTGAAGGCGGCCCCATCAGACTTCTCATTCCTGACCTAGCTCCTCCTCCTGGGGTACGACTCCCATCTCTGCCAAAGGAACCAGCGAAGTTTGACTGCATGGTAACATCTCGTCCAAGGGAACCAGCCAAATTAGTTGCTCCTGATCTGGCAGGAAAATCCGTCCTTTGAGTATTATTTGACATACCAAGCTGGCGAGCGTTATTAAATGAGCCCAGAAGACTTGTCATAGAAGAGTTACCCATTTGTCTAATTCCTCCATCAATGTTTCCATACGGTGCTATTTACAAACAAAAGATATTGTACGCTTTATAAACAAAACAAAACAAATGGTCCTATATGTATTTACAAACAAAACAAAACATTACATGGAATGCTAATTAAGCCTACTGGTAACATTATGCTGTTATGATATATGTATATGGAAAATAATAAAACAATATATAAGTGTGTGTCTTAAATGACACAATTATGGATCTCAATTTATCTTCTTTATGCATAGTAATGGTTATTACCAAAGTTTTGCTATATCAATAGAAAATTTCACGATTATTTTTCTATGAATTTATGATTCAAAGCCGAGCTGTTCAGGCTTCAAACCTGTCTTGCTGTATGTTCAAAACCCATCTGGGACATTAAATTCTTTCACAATATTGAATAAGCAGTAAATTGTAATGTATTAATTAAGTTTAAAGCTTGTTTGGTGGGTCTGCTTAGGTTCTTGCACATGCCTGAAGTAACACTATAATAATGGGCAATTGTCTTCCTTGCAATTATAAAGCTGCAACTAAATAGCATTTGCACAATCAAAAAAAAATATACATATATAAAAACATAGAAAACAACTAATATGGCTTGTGAAGACATGTAAAAAACAAGAGGGCCATGATGGCCCCGAAATCACTCACCTGTATATAGATCCCTGGGCCAAAGTCAATTTTAAACCAGGGGCTTTTATTTGAACAAACTTGGTAGACCCCCATAAGAAAATGTTTCATGATAAATATCTTAGCTCTAGCTCTTTGGGGTTTTTATAAGAAGATTTTTTAAAGTTTTTACTATAAACATATAGGGAAAAACAATACCCCCCCCCCCCTTGGAGGGGCCAATTTTGACACCAGGACTTTTATTTGAATGAACAAACTTGGTAGACACTCACTAGAAGATATTTCATGCTTAGTATCTTAACTCTAGCTCTTTAGGTTTTTTATAAGAAGATTTTTTTAAAGTTTTTACTACACATATGAGGAAAATCAATGACCTCTGGAGCGGGGCCAATTTAAACCCAAGGGCCCTTAACTGAACAAATTGGGTAGACACCCATTTAATAATGTTTCATATGAAATATCTTAACTCTAGCTCTTTGGGTTTTTTAAAAGAAGATTTTTTTATGTTTTTACTATACACATATAAAAGGAAAATCAATGACCCCCCTCCCCCCATCAGGTCCAATTTTAACCAAAGGGCTTTTATTTGAACAAACTCGTTAGACACCCATATGCTAAACATGTAAGCTCTTGCTCATTGGTGTTCTTTTTAAAGAATAGTTTTATCTATACACATATACTTAAAAAACAATGACACCCCTGGGGGCTGGGGCAGGGCCAATTTTGACCCCAGGGCTTTTATTTGAACAAACTTTGTAGACACTAGAAGATGTTTCATGCTTAATATCTAAACTCTAGCCATTTAAGTTTTTTAAAAGAAGATTCTTTAAGTTTTTGCTATACACAAATATGGAAAATCAATGACCCCCAGGACGGGGCAGATTTTGACCCCCGGGCTCTTATTTGAACATACTTTGTAGACACCAATTAGAACATGTTTCATGCTAAATATCTTAGGCCTAGCTCTATGGGTTCTTTAAAAGAAGATTTTTTAAGTTTTCTATTTGCATATAGGGAAGATCAATGACCCCCTGGGGCGGGGCCAATTTTGACCCGAGGGCTTTTATTTGAACAAACTTGGTAGACACTCATTAGAAGATGTTTCATGCTAAATATTTTAGCGGACCCTAAAAGGGGCTAATTAAATTAATATGAGCAAACTTGATAAAAGACTACCCAAGAATGCTACAGACAAAGTTTGGTGATCATCATCAATTAGTTCTCTAGAAATAGCCATTTAAAGGTATTTCTATTTTTAGCTTTTGCAGCCCCTAAAAGGGGCCAATCAAATTAATATGAGCAAACTTGATAAAAGGCTACCCAAGAATGCTACGATCATCCATCAATTAGTTCTGTAGGAAAAGATGTTTAAAGGTTTTTCTATTTTTAGCCCAGCTGACCCCTAAAAGGGGCTTATCAAATTAATATGAGCAAACTTGATAAAACACTACCCAAGAATGCTACAGACAAAGTTTGGTGATCATCCATCTATAAGTTTTGTAGAAGAAGATGTTTAAAGGTTTTTTCTATTTTTAGCTCTGCTGACCCCTAAAAGGGGCCAATTGGAATGACATAAGCAAGTTCAAGTGTGACTGTCACAAGGATGCTACAGACAAAATTTGAAGTAAATCTGCTTAGTAGTTTCAGAGAAGAAGACGATTGTTGACGCATGACGACGGACGCCGGAGCATCCCACTTTGATACTCATAGCTTACCCTGAGCCTTCGGCTCTGGTGAGCTAAAAAAACCCAAACAGAATAAACTATCGGCATACCAGTTTGTTGATTTCCATATGAAATATCCTGTTCAAAGTTGCCTTGTCCGCCATTCATGTTAAAAGCATTATTATCTGTATCATAGCCGGCAGTACTGTTGCCATAGTTACCATTATAACCAGACTGTACCCACTCTTCATACTGTTGTTTATATGCCGCGGCAGCACCAGCAGCATAGAATGCCGCCTGTTCGGCTATATCGTTGTAATGCCCGTCTCTTTTCTCTGGCTGTGAGATCTAAATAAAAATATAATATTCTATTTATATATTCTTATAAACAAGATAAAAATTGCGTTTGAATAAACTATCTATCATATATTTGTGTAATGGCTTCTGCAATGCTTAAAATAATGATCTATCCATTTTTCAAGAGATTTTAATTTTAAATGGTAAATTTCGAAGTACAAAAAAGTAGCGAGCTTGATCAAACAGCCATTAAAGGGTATAAAGCTATATGTAATGAAATATTTCTTTAAAATTTTATTGTTTCCATAACCTTGTGGTTTATTCCCAAAAAAGTTATAACATAAAATGTTTCAATTATTTAATGCATGTCAACAGAATAAAATGTTCCAGAACAAAATATTCTTTTCTTGCCATATCAAGAACCAGACCATCTGACATTAAAACAAGGAAATACATGTATTATATGGTAATGTAAATGTGTCAACAAACCTGTCTATTCATGCTGGGAGCCAGACCAGACTTCTGCCTAGCATTTATACCAGAAAAATAAGCTCCATCAAATCTCTGTAATATAAAACTAACACAGGTTATATCTATCATCACTACTATCAACATTAGCAAGAAAGATGCAATCATTTGTGAAGAAACGTTGATTAACATAAAAAACTACAAATCCTAAGTTTAAAACAACATAATTATAAACATGAATTATAATATTTCAAAAGTATCAATGTTGGCATTATTGTTTTACTGAATAAAAAACAGGCCTTTTCACAATCGGTGTATAAAAACACCTATATCTTTGTATTGGGTTATGAGTATCAACAAACGTGTTGTTTTTTTGGTTTTTTTTGGTAAAGGTTATGAGTATAAAAAATATGTATTTCTTCGTTTTGCATTAAGAGTATAAACAAATATATTTCTTTGATATGAGTTGCAGGCATAAACAAATATAGTTTTTGTTGTTTTTGGTTATCAGCATAAACTAATGTTTTCATTTGTTTTCAGTAATGAGTATAATCAAAATATTTTGATGTGTTTCTTTGTTTTGGCTAATGAGTTTAAACTAATTTTTTTCCATTGTTTTGGGTTACGAGTATAAACATGTGTTTTTTTTTGTTTTGGGTTATGAGTATGGGAAAATGTTTCTTTTGCATTATAAGTAAGGAAAACATGAATGTATTTCTTCGTAGGAACAAAATGTGTTTCATTGTTTTAGGTTATGAGTTTGAACAAATCTTTTTTTTTTATTTGGGTTCAGTTTGGATAAAATGTACATCTTTGTAATGGATTATCAATATGAACACATGCACATAAATGTGTTTAGGTTATGTGTATTTCAGGATACCAACATTTTCTAAAACTTAAAATGAGTGTGGTGTCAAGGCAAGCCTGGTCCTATTCATGAGACATTTGACCTGTCATCACCTCCATGAATACTTGGATGTTAAATTTATGCAAATGAAAGCTGAAAGCTTACTTTCATATTCAGGCATGCAAAAAAACTACAGCAATATAAATGTAACTTACATTGGAGTTTGAAGTTGCATCAAATTCAATGTCCATCAATTTTCTGGCTGAAAACTTCTGTCCCATTAGATTACCATAGCAACCACTGTTTCTATCATCATTGTTACTAAATGCTTCACCATATGCTTCATTATATTCTGTTTCATCACAACCACCCTGTCAGTAAAATCAATTCATTTGAAATTTAAGGGTCTCCACTGATGTTTTTTGACATGACGGGACTGGAAATCGTTCTCCCGAATCAATGTTCTATCTGATGAAGGTCTAGATTTATAACTTGTGTGCAAAATCAAAGATTATTCGCTCACTTCGTTTTTTTTATAGAATAATTATTCTAATTATGAAAACTGACCCAAAATTGAAAAGGGCTTTTCACTCAAACCGGGCTTAGCATACAACTAAAATATGATTTTCATTTCTTTTTCTGAGTATATTCTTAAAATTCTTTTGTATCTCTTTCTATTAAAGTACCCCAATAATGTTGATGTATTTAAGAATGTATTTTAGAAATTCAATAATTACGTTTTGAAGCTTTTGTACTTCAGTGGAGTTCCTTTAAATTCATGTTTTGAAATCTCAAAATACAAATTTGTGAAAAATTCTATCAGTTAAAATACACCAAAACAACACATATTTTTTTAAAATCTTTACTAGTTTCCACTGTTGTCTTCATCAGAATAACGTACAAAGTATTTGACGTCACGTCCGTTAGGACGCCAACGTCAACGTGACAAATTTGCGCAAAAACATGAATGTAAAGTAATTAACAAATAGATATGGATCAAAAATATACAGCGGGTATTAATAATAGAACTATATTTCTACAATATAAAGCAGAGAAAAATGATAAAACCCAACATACCTATATGTCAAAATATATCATATAATTCTATGGCATTCTACTGGTCTTATCATTATGGACACAAGACTATGTTTCTCTGGTTCGTTTTAATGCATGGAAGGCAAGTTCATCAGTATTTCAATCATATATTGCCAGGTAACACATTTCTGTTCCATAATTTTTTTTTGTGCTGACAACAAAGGTTTAGCTAATACATATACATTTTTTCATGCTCACCTGATATCCTGAGTCATCGTAACTCCCACCTTGGTTTCCATAGAAACCCAACCCTGTCTCTTCCTCCATTTTAGGTGTAGGTATTAAGCCATCTCCTTTATTGTTAAAGTTTAAGGACAGTAAAGATTGTGGCTGGTTCCCTTGTTGAGTCTGAGCTGGTACCTGGTTCTCTAGCAAACTTGGCAGCCGACCTATCACAAAAAATATAACATATATGAAATTATTATAATGCTGGTTCCCGTGCTGAATCTGAGCTGGTACCTGATTCTCTAGCAAACTAGGTAGCCAACCTAACACAGAAAACATAAAATAAATAAAATTATTATAATGCTGGTTCCCTTGCTGAGTCTGAGCTGGTACCTTATTCTCTAGCAAACTAGGTAGCCAACCTAACACAGAAACCTAACATATATGAAATTATTATAATGCTGGTTCCCTTGTTGAGTCTGAGCTGGTATCTGGTTCTCTAACAAACTCGGCAGCTGACCTAACACAGAAAACATAAACATTTATGAAATTATTATAATGCTGGTTCCCTTGCTGAGTCTGAGCTGGTACCTGGTTCTCTAGCAAACTAGGTTACTGACCTAACACAGAAAACATAAACATATATGAAATTATTATAATGCTGGTTCCCTTGCTGAGTCTGAGCTGGTACCTTGGTCTCTAGCAAACTAGGTTACTGACCTAACACAGAAAACATAAACATATATGAAATTATTATATCTTTAATGGGGGAAAAAATGGGGTGTTACAAAACGTAAACAAAAATTAAAAGTTGAAAACGGGGCTTGATTTTGTCAAAAAATTTCACATAGACATGTCCTAATAGGATATTTCCTGAAAAAGCTTAAAACATTGTCTTAAATATGAGGAAAAGCAGAATCATCTATTCTTAGCCAGAAATACCATGGCCCAACAGACTCAAAAGTTTCAAAATAATATCAAAATGGGTAAGGGAAGTTACTAATGTGGCACAACACTAAGGTGAGTAGGAAAGATCATCCTTTTATATAAATATATAAATAGTTGAGCCAAAAAATGGTTTATACCTTGACCTTGACCTTTGTAACTGCCAAGAAGTCCATCTCCAGAGTTACTATTATTGTTCATATTTCCTGTATTCCCAAACAGTGAATTAAGGTCTTGCTTGTTGCCTCCTTGTGCCATTTTCTGCATAGCCAACTGCTGTATAGTGTTCATAAAGTTAGATGCAGCTTTATTGGTATTTGTGTTCATATTTGGAGCATTGCCAAGGAGACCTTGCTGGTTTGGTTCGCGAGGGTTTCTGACCATTCTGTTTTGCGGGTTCTGTTGACCCATTCCCATGTTGTTAAGGAGCTTCTGAGCCACTTTACCTGCCTGTACCAAACCTTCCATTAAAGGCTTCGGTGGGCCAGTTGGAGCACTACCTGCACATTCAGAATAAAATATATCAGAATATATCAAAAAATCACTATAGCTATCTGCTTATTAGATAAAATTAGCAAATCAAAATCATTATGGCTGTTTCGATAATTTTTTTTTAGCAAATTATAGTTATGAATTAAAGGGAAGCATAACTTTTCTTCTTTAAATTCTATTTACTAGTATTACTTCAGAAAAAGGAAACAAACAGTATACATTTTTGCTCATGACTAAAATAACATTTAAAGTTATTCAATCATAACATTATGGTATTATTCTCTGAGATAATTAAGTAAGAACAAAGAAAGCGCAGACTATATACCTAAAATTCCCCTGGATTGAGTCTTTTCTGACAACATGGCCATAAGTCTGCCAAGACTGCATAAATAGACCATGTTCAATTCATATACAGATTTCTCAAGTAGTTTAGGAGCATCTACGTCAGTTACTGATCTGTGAAACTCTGACTTATCCTGGGGCATCAGTAGATTCTTCAATATGATGTTTGCCTGGGCTGTCATTGGGTCACCAAGCAGAGATACGGGCTGCGGTTTTTCCTGTAATATACAAATATATTCATAAAATCCTAGCAACACTTGCACACATTGCATGCATAAGCCTCATTTCTACATTATGAACTTATATACAACAGTTAGAGAAATTAAAAAAAAAATACTTCTTAGTAATATGGATGCTTTCCCTGTGTTTCTCTTTTCAGTTTGACATCAGTTAAATGAAATTTATCAGGAAATATCAGTTTTAGTTTTAATAATCAACTCATTACAATATAACCCTTAGCCTAGTGCCACAACAGATTCTGCTCATGTGATTTCTGCAGACAAAGATCTGGGCTGTGTTTCAAAGAAAGTCTTTAGTCTGAAATCAGTCGCAAGACCAAAACTGAGACAATTTTGCCTTTCAAAGAAAGTGTCCTTACTATCGACTCTTATGTCATGACCCTCTTAATTTCTGAATAGCAATGCAAATGGGCATTTACACATTGCCAAGAAAAGGGTCTGTCATTGTATATCTTTAACTTTTCTCAGAAAATGAATTTTTTTATAGTCTACAATATTTGACCAAAGACAAAAATGTTTACTGAAACAGTCATAACTTAGTCCTTAAATTTGTTTTACGTCCTAGGACTGAGGGTACACTTAAGACTTTCTATGAAACGCCAATGCAGAATGATCATGGCCTGCACTACTTGTGTTTCACTAGGGACATTTTTTTTTAAGTATTCCGTGATCCATTTAAGATATTTAACATTATTAGGGTTACAGATCTTACCTGAAATTCTTCATCTGTTGGAATCTTGACTTTCCCAAGAGGCTCTGGTACCTGAAATGGAAAAAAACAAACTTATAACCATAAATAAAACTTTTTTTAAACACAAGATACAGAGTTACCTAAAACTGTTGGAAAATGGCAAAATCATGATTTAACAAGGCACATTTTAACATTAAACATCAGTAATATAAAGAATTACATTTCATAATATAAAATGCTTAGTAAAAAAATAATACATACAGTTATATTACATTAAAACCCAGCACTGTCAAAATATAGGTATTTATTTGTGAGATTCCTTAAAGTCTCAATCCATGAGTTGAGATATAACTTTTATGTCAGTTGCCATGCCAATTGCTATCAGTTTCTCTATTTTATATAGAGTTTGTAAGCAAACAGCATGGATCTTGATCAGACTGCACAGATGTGTAGACTGGTCAGGATCCATGCTGGTCACAAACGCATTGTGTTGGTATTGTCACAGCACAGCTAAAATGTACAAATTTTTTATCTAACCTCTCCATTGTAAGTGCCTTTTTCTCTCATATCAAGTACTATCACAGATAGGAGACCTAACTGAAGGTTGATATCCATCAACGGTGACATTGGAATGGTTGGAGCTGGTCCTAAAATACCTGAAAATAAATCACATGTCCCATGAAATTAATATTTCATATAAAGAAATATATTAAATTCTTTTTTTCCAATTTGAGAAAATCTAGAAAATCTTTCACTCAGATTCACTTTCATAGCATAAAATATACAAAACCTCACATTATGACATATAAATACAGTACTTTTATTTGTCCATCAATTTTTAGGGAGTTGCAAATTAAGGCCTTATTCCCAACTCCACAAATTTTAATATGATAGAAAATAATTTCATTTAAAACTTTCACATTAATGCAGGTTTATTGGTAATATTTAAAGCACATAATTACGCTCCATTTACATAATACTTTATTTAATCTCTTGTGTAAGTAATAAAACTATTGTCTAAGTAATAACAATGCACTTAAATCACAAAAACCAACCTGCCAGCCTTCCCTCGTGGCTAAAAAAACATCTATACATACATGTAGCAATATATTTAGATTATTAATTTTGAACAAAATATGCTGTATGCTTCATTCAAATTTGCAATATCAAGAACATTTGGTAATACATGTACATGTACTAATACTTTAGGGGCAAACCTATATAGAAAATTGTACCTGGTTTAGCATTGGTTCTATCCTCAAGCTGTTTAACATAGCCTTCTTGTAAATGTAACAAATTTTCTGTAAACTGGACCAATACTGTAACAAAAATTTCAATATGATCTTTACTGCAAAATATTCTTAAGTTACAAAAAGTGATCTTCTTTCCAAGAAAAAATATTTAACAATGATAATTATTTATATAGTACCCACTTGTGTATTACATGCCATCATTAATATATATTGTCAGCTTAGTGCAATAACTGATTCACTCCTTTTAAATGACGATGTGTCATAGGGTGAAAAATATGTGCACCCTGACCAGGACTTAAACATGGAACATCTGAAATCCTTCTCTTCGGTTCTCAGCTTTTCTCAGCTGCAAACACATTTTCTCTTCCTATTTAATAAATATTTCTATACCTTAACCTATACTTAAACACAAATTTCATGATACTATAATGTACAGTAAAGCAAACTTACATCTAGGATGTTTGGCAACGTGGGTTTTAAAGAAGACATGTTTAAGAAAGGCAGGATTAGGATAGACCGGGTCTGGAAGAAGGCTGGCTCTGTTTATATGTACTTTGTCACCCTGAAAATCAAACCAAATATTTATCATCCTCAAATAAAAATACACCATAGAGTTTCAATAGAGCTGTCTAGTGAATAATGTAGTGATATGTTCTTTGTAAAAATATAACATTAAGTAACTTTGATTTCAGTGAAAACATACAGATGTTTTTATGGAACCTGTTTGCACACTGTGACAGTAGGACATTCTTTCATTACATGAATAACTGAAAAGTATGATTTTTTTTTATAAAATGGTCCATAAAACTTAAGTACCATCATAACACTTGGGAAGTACACATGTGCATACAAACATATGGAGAGAAAAGATTTTTGAGTATGTTTACAATGTGACAATGTGTTTATTTATTCGTAATATGAGGCCTCTAACCAAAAATACAATCAGATTTTTAATTCAACGAAGAGCGATGTAAATATATATAAATATATGAGTATATTTACAAGTAAGAAATATGTTGATATTAAAGCAACATTAAACAAACAAGAGGGCCATGATGGCCCAAAGTCGCTCACCTGTATATAGGCCCCTGGAGCGGGGCCAGTTTAAACCCCAGGGCTTTTATTTGAACAAACTTGGTTGTATATGTATGCATGTATATATATATATATATATATATATATATATATATATATATATATATATATATATATATATATATATATGATTGATATATATATATATGTATGTATATGTATATAAATACATATACATATATATATATATATATATATATATATATATATATATATATATATATATATATATATATATATATATATATATATTAAATATATATGTATATATATAATATGTATATATATCTAAAAAAAAAAAGTCAAGCTAATGAATGACCCCCGGGGCGGGGCCAATTTTGACCCCAGGGCTTTTATTTGAACAAACTTGGTAGACACCATGAGAACATGTTTCATGCTAAATATCTTAGCTCTAGCTCTTTGAGTTCTTTAAAAGAAGATTTTTTAAGTTTTTACTATATGCACATAGGGAAAATCAATGACCCCCGGGGCGGGCCAATTTTGACCCCAGGGCTTTTATTTGAACAAACTTGGTAGACACCCATGAAAACATGTTTCATGCTAAATATCTTAGCTCTAGCTCTTTGAGTTCTTTAAAAGAAGATTTTTTAAGTTTTTACTATATGCACATAGGGAAAATCAATGACCCCCGGGGGCGGGGCCAATTTTGACCCTAGGGCTTTTATTTGAACAAACTTGGTAGACACTCACTAGAAGATGTTTTATGCTTTATATCTAAACACTAGCTATCTGGGTTTTTTCAAAGAAGAATTTTAAGTTTTTGCTATACACAGTCATATAAGGAAAATCAATGACCCCCGGGGCGGGGCCAATTTTGACCCTAGGGCTTTGATTTGAACAAACTTTGTAGACACTCACTAGAAGATGTTTCATGCTTAATAGCTAAACTCCAGCTATTTGGGTTTTTTTAAAGAAGATTTTTTAAGTTTTTGCTATACACATATAAGGAAAATCAATGACCCCCGGGGCGGAGCCAATTTTGACCCCAGGGCTTTTATTTGAACAAACTTGGTAGACACCCATTAGAACATGTTTCATGCTAAATATCTTAGCTCTAGCTCTTTGATGTCTTTAAAAGAAGATTTTTTAAGTTTTTACTATATGCATATAGGGAAAATCAATGACCCCCTGGGGCGGGGCCAATTTTGACCCTAAGGCTTTGATTTGAACAAACTTGGTAGGCACTCATTAGAAGATGTTTCATGCCAAATATCTAAGCTCTAGCTCTTACAGTTTTTTAGAAGAAGATTTTTTAAGTTTTTCTTATTGGTTGCCATGGCAACCAGAGTTTTTAATGGAATTTAAATTTTTGAACAACTTTGAAAGGGGTCCACCTAAGGATCATTTCTGTAAAGTTTGGTTGCAATTGGCCATGTAGTTTAGGAGGAGATGTTGTTTGAAAAGTTTGACGCCATTTTTTGAAGGACGCACGACGCACGACGCACGCAGAGTGATGACAAAAGCTCACCTTTGAGCACTTCGTGCTCAGGTGAGCTAAAAATATAATGTACATATAATACATATATAAATAATAATGTGCATATGTCAAATATGATTTACAACAACATGTGTAACACCCTGACCTTTTAATTGGAAAACATAAAAAGACATTTACAACCAAAGAACATTTACATATCTAAATATCAAAAGAACACTTACATACTAAATAGTGAAAAAACACTTATATAATTATTTAGACATAAAAAAGAACACTTACATATTTAAACATAATTCTGTTGAACATATGTATAGCAGATTTCCCTGGTATACAATATGAGATATTCATCGGGACATCGTTAATTTTGTGTTTATTAAACTGATTGAACGATCTTTCAGCATCATCAGCATTCTCGTATTCCAGGATACCGAATCCTAGTGACTCTCCCTCCTTTGTTACAATCTACAGTGATAAAAACATGGCGTATAAACTAGGGCTGGGCGAGTATCCGAGTACTCGGATAATCACGAATCAAAGTGAAAAATCGAGTTTGAATATTCGTAAGCCCAGAGATCGTGGATCGCGATCTAATCTTTTTTATATACATTGACTGTTTCTCACACTTTTAAAATCGATAAAATACGATTTGAGTAAAAATTATATGAAGTTTAACTAAATACAATTTACCGGTTAAAGACCATGTACCATGATGCTGAGCTAGGAAGTAATTGGTTTCAAAAAACAAAACAAAAATACTCATCCAAAGAATAAAAACATAAACCTAGTTTATATTTTATATGTTTAATGTTTAGTATTGTTGTTGTTTTTTTTTTTTAAAATAAACATGTTTTTATAACTTATGTACATGTTTTTATGGGTGTCTTGATAACAAAAGATTTGTGGTTCGATTTGTGAATCGCAAGTGCTGAATCGTGGTTCGGATCGGATCGTCACTTATCCGACGATCCACACCCCTAATATAAACATACAGTAGAACTTCTAGGTGTCAAACTTTAATTAGTGGAGTTTCTCTGAGTGTTGAAGTAAAATTAAAGTCCCAATTTTTCTTGAAAAAAAAATGGCATATAAACTTAATTTTCAAATGTCATTTATGATACAACTCAACCAGAAAAAAAAAACAATATTTTTATAAAGTCATGATGAAATTTTGTATAATATTTTTGGGGACAAAAATGTTATCTCAACAAGAGCTCAACAGGACAGTGTGCTTGACTATTCTCAGTGCTCCATAGTAAACCAAGAGCCTTGATAATGTAGAAATTTCAGAAAGTACAAAAAAGGGAAATTATTCTGTCAAAAAAAAATTGTTAGAAATATGGGCCTTGGAAAGTGACCTCCTTTTATGCTCTCTTATAAATGTGGAATGTTTCAACCCGTTCCCTATAGGACTTTTGTATATACTTACTTGCCAACAAAAAACCAAAGTGAGATGCTGACGTCTTGGTGAGTACAACAGCTCTCCCTAATCTCTAAATAGTGGAGCTAACAAATTCCTAATTAGGTACCTCAATTTACAGTTTCATATGCTTATATTATATTATACTACATGTTACGATGATGTACATTACATTACAATTATATTATATCACATCATATTGTACATTATATTACACCTTCCATATTGATAAGGTGGTTTCTATCAGAGCAAGTGTCTGATTAAATGAGAATGGTCAAATTAAATCTTCAACATTCATTCAGAACATAGCTCAGGTGGAAAAAAATATATGTAGGTATGCCCTCTTTATTAAAATACGAAAAAAGCATTATGCAAAATTACAAAGAATATATGTGTATGTTGTGAAAACTTTTATGAACATACCTGACAATACACAGGTTTCACAAATTCACTGAATACCTGTCTCAATGCAATAGAATCACAGTAGTCTTTTGGTAGGTTGTCTATTATCAGACATTTTGAATGCAAATCCTGCAATAGATGATGATAAATACACAATGTATGTAAAATAGAGAAAAACAGAATCCCTAAAGAAAGCCCAACTTGGCAAGACTGAAAATGTTGCAGGCTTGGTTAGATTGAACCTGGTCATTGACGGTTGAGGTCATTGAAAGCTACCGTCCATGTCCCCTAGCAGCGGCTTAAATGTCTTGTTAGGATCATAACATTGCAAAATAAACAGCAACAGATAAACATTAACCAGAGGATGTTAATAGATAAAGAAATTTGTTTTATAAATAATGTAACATAGAGATGACACCAATGATGAAACTAAAATGACTGAACTACATAAACATGACATAAAGACCTAATATGCCTCAGAAATGGTGGGGTTTTTGTTATTTCTCAATTGAAACTTTTTTTTGTGTGTGCTTTCTTGTAGTTTCCAAAAAGTTTCACATTGTCCAATTACCTGACCCATCTTTTGCTTCTGTTACTTTTGGCAATTATTATAGTATAGTGATTTAGTAATTTGTATGGAAGTCAAAATACTACTTTATTTACTTTTTGCTTCTATTCTGATAAATAATTTCACTCTCAAAGCTATTTTCTTAAGGTAATACACATCTAACATAATCTAAAAATAAAACCATTATTTAAACATCATAAAACTCAAGTTTGCTCTTTCTAAAGAAGAATATAAATTTATTCATTTCTGAGGCATAATATGCCTTTAAAAAATTAAATGTAATTAAATAACATAGCATAAAATGTAACTGAATATGCACACACCCTGAAGGGCAATTAAAAAATAATCTGTGATATGCACAGAGCTTAAAACCTGATATGTCTGTGTTTAAATTGTAAACAAAATTACTTAATATATAATTCATGTCAACATATTTGATGATTATTGATGAGTCTGGCAATATTGAAAGATAAATGACAACAGAAATTGTTATTTGTTAGAACTCTTATATGCAGAAAATATTTGTGTGTATTTTAATACAGCCATTTATGAAATTAAGTGATGACAGATCCTAGCATTTCAACATTTTGAGAGAAAAATATACTTGTATATACCATTGTAAAAAGTCTACAAATGAAAAACATGATCTACTTCACAGTAGAGATGAATCTGTATTTGATATTTATAAACATTATACATGTAAATACCAGATTTAAATTGAAGTTGAAATGGAAAAATCATGACAAGTAAAGAATATACCAACCTGGAATGTGATTCCAGACTGTGAACTGTCTACTATAGCATCACAATGTACTGTCTGACCATCAATGTTAGACCAGTCTAGGGAACATTTTATTTTACCTACTTTCTCTATCGGCTCATTGAACTCAACAAAACCATACCCCTTACTTTCTCCTGAAAAGAATTAACAACCAGAATATTTCAATAAGCCATTCTTTCCTAGTAAAACTATAATCATGAGTTGAGATTGTTGGATTTTCAATGTCTGATAAGATGGCCTAAGAGTTAAGGTATCTGCCTCTATCCCCAGGGATCATGGGTTCGAGCCTGAATTTGGTCACAACCATGTTTCTTCGTATGACACCAGTATTGGTTGGTTCCAGGAAACAGGCTCAAAGGTGATTAATATAAGTAGCAAAAACTTGTTTTGCAATTGAGCTTAAATAAATATGTTTAAACAAATGTCTGATAATCATCTGAAATAAATGCATGCCATTTACAAATAATCTTGAAGTGTATTTTATTATAAAATACTAAACAAAAAGAATATTTTAGAAGTTTTCTAAATTCTATGAAAATACATTTAAAATCATCTAATAATGTATTTCTTAATACTTTAACCGATCAAATATTCAGAACATCCAGCCTCCATACCAATAGAGAAAAATTCAAAAACCCTATACAAATAATTTTTCTTTCAATCTAGACAACACCTTTTTTGGAAAAAATTCATTATGCAGACCATGATCTAACGGCATATTTGTAGGATGCACTGGTTGGTCTGCACTGATTGTATGAGTAGATTCTTTAGCTGCCAGTTAACACCAATGCAGGAAGGTAAAACTTCAGCTAAGTGCCTGTTTGAAATCTATTTTCAATTTTTGTTATTGTTTTCCTTTTTGTTAATAAAAAAGTATTACATGTGATGAATCTTGTGAGAAAGAAATAAAAAAACTTCCACAAAAAACTGTTACCAAGTGGCAAAAAAAAACAAAGATATAAAACAAACCTGTCTCCTCTGATCTCATAAGAAAGCACATATCAATGTTTCCATGTTCGGTAACCAGTTCCCGGAACTTATATTCTGTCATAGACAACGGTAACTGTGCTATACATAAAATCTTCTCACTCCTATACACGGACACAGACACTGTCAGGGTATCCAGCTTCGTACTATCCAACTTAGAAATGGCCTCATCTACCAGGGACGGATCTTTCAATGTTACTATAGCTGTAAAACAAAATAATTAGCCTTTAAGCTGTATAGCAATACATTTCCTCTCCCCTTACAGGGCTTTTTCCCTTCTTTAGCAGGGGCCATTATGGGGTGGCTTCCTAAAGAAAAATTTTTTAAAATCATGCAGTTTTCCACAAAAAATTGAATTAACATCAAGTTTTTTCTTCCCCTTTAGCAAATAAACCATATTATTTTCACCCAAAATTAAGGGCCAGGCTTCTTCCCCAACCTGTGAAAAAAGCCCTGCCTTTCATGTTGTATGGCTAAAATGTATTGATCGTGGGAAATCTGTATCCCAATTAATATTAAAGTTACTGGGGTAGTTGGTTCTCATTACTTTGGACTTAATTAAATACTGCAAAGGTCATTAATTTCTTCCACTTGAGGAAGCCATGTTGACTGATATACTGGTACCCATGTGTTGGAATATTCCAAAATAGTGCAAAAAGGGGAATCAAGAGTCTTTCTCTAACAGCAAAAGCTTGAAAGTCTGAACTGTCCATATGAACAAAATCATAGTGTGATTTTAAACCAAATCAAGATTATCTAACACTGTGCATCTAACTCCTATCTCTCTTTTTCTAACTCCTATCTCACTTTTTCTAACTCCTACCTCACTTTTTCTAACTCCTATCTCTCTTTTTCTAACTCCTACCTCTCTTTTTCTAACTCCTATCTCACTTTTTCTAACTCCTATCTCTTTTGTTCTTACTCCTATCTCTCTTTTTCTAACTCCTATCTCTCTTGTTCTAACTCCTATCTCTCTTGTTCTAACTCCTATCTCTCTTTTTCTAACTCCTATCTCACTTTTTCTAACTCCTATCTCTCTTGTTCTAACTCCTATCTCTCTTTTTCTAACTCCTATCTCTCTTTTTCTAACTCCTGCCTCTCTTTTTCTAACTCATATCTCACTTTTTCTAACTCCTATCTCTTTTTCTAACTCTTATCTCTTTTTTTCTGACTCCTATCTCTTTTTTTTCAGATGAAACTCTGGGTATACCCACATGTATGCTTCATGCCTGCTTAGGGGAATCCACACCTATTTTAACACGACCTGATTGGAAACACTTAATTTTGAGGTCTGTTAATCATTTAACGGTCTGGACCAATTAAAATTGTATGCAAATTTCAGATCGTAAAACCAGTCTGTTTCTGAGAATTACCATTCAATCGTTTAAAATAACTAAAAGATGAATGAAAAATGTTTGTTGCAAATGTGAATATCTGATTCTGATCCAATATTTGCATTGAAAATTATACAAAATCGAAAACCTTGCTTTGTTCACATTATTTTAAACTATTCATGAATTCAATAAAGTCCTTTCTGGTTGGTAATATTTTGCAATAAATTATCAAATATCGAACCACTTTTACAATATCATCTGACAGCAATATAAGCTCACCTTGGTTGAAATTTTTGACCATCTGTACCGACTCCACGGGAAACTCTCCATTGAAGCCCATAAATGCACGAATATCCTGCAGAAGAAAGTATAAATAAAAGCATTTTAATATCCACTAACATTCATTCTAAAACAAATAATAACACCAAGGGCAGAAATGGGTCTATGTCAAGTGTCATGCAAGGGTTTTGATAGCAGAAAGACTGGTTCTAGACCTAATTACATAAATACCCAAAATAGAAAGACAAGAATGAAAAGCAAGTGATTCTCATAGAATACAGACTGGTTACAGACTGATCGCATGAAATACCAAAAATAGACAGGAAGTAATCAATGTCAAAGCAGTCAAGATGAGAGAACTGATAGAAACAGACTATCAATAGACTAATTAGATCTAAAATCTAAATTATTAAGAAGGAGTGTGGATTTTACAGAAAATCAACACAAAATGTGTCAGAAATAGATAGACAAGAATGATAGTATTAAAGATGATGGCAACAACAGCTTGCTGGAAACAGCTTCATCCAAATCTTCAGAAAACTGTCTAGGTGCATGAAAAGCATGGAAATAAAGTAGAAGACAAAGGAAAGGGCAGATGAAGAAAAAGTTTGAAAGGAAATACACCTATATAGGAGTATAGGGAAGAGCTGATCCCTAGAAATAGTAGGACAAAAGAAAATAACAAAGTAAAAGCAGAATAAAAGCATCTGGCTGAGTCATGTTTTTGTGTTACTAAAGATAGACAGTTGAACTAGATCTAGAGCTTACAGTTACTGCAAGGGCACCAAGAGAAAGAACAGAGATTAGAGTAAAAGAATATACCCACTTGCATATGACACATCTTTTAAACAAATGGGCAAGTTGCCAGAAAAAAAGGGAACTCCGATCAAATAGAAATTTGGAAATTATACTAATCAAATATGAAGGACACCAATGAATCCCTATACTAGTATTTGTTACATGTGTCAGATCATTTATCTAAATTCATGCTAAAATTATTGTACAGTATCTGTTAAGTCATATATATATAGGTTGTATGCAAGAAAGGTACCGAAATAATTTTATTAACAGTTCACACAAAATTGAAAATGCAAATTCTGAACTTCCCATTTTTTTCTGGCAACTTTGTGTGGACTCTCTGGGCTTTTAACGGACAAATTACAAACAAAAAGGATGAGACAAACACAAAACAAACATAGACAAGGCGGATGGACATTGCTGAAAGAGAGCAAACATGTAACATGTGAGAGTGGAAGTGAGTGGTACAGGCTTGGATGTATGTGGCTACAATCACCCGTCACTACTGCTCCACAGCTCCTTGTAGCCTCCTGTCCGCATTGCTTCACCCCTCATTATCCTCGCATTCCTGAGTAGAACATACCTGCAAACATAATTTCATTTGATTTCTTTTGAATAATTTACAAATTTATCACTATTTTCCAGAACACTAGGTGAATAACCTGGCAATTATTATTGTTACCAGTATAAAGTGAAGCATTACATGCCTTCGTGTCATTACAGATTTACCTTTTTCTACATAAGTGGCAACTAAGATTTAGTAAATATATTTACAACAAGAGCTGTCGGTAGGACAGCAACACTCGACTATTCTTAGTGCTTGATAATAAAAAAGCCTTGATAATGTAAAAAAATTTAAGTTAACAAAAGGGCAAATTTTTTCTTTAAATCCATGTTACAGTCATAGGCCTTGAAGAGAGTCCTATTATGCTCTCAAAGGAGAGTACAAAATTTCAACTTGTTTCAAAGCCATATGTCAATGGACTTTGAAAATATTTGAGGTATTACAAAAACTTTAACGTAAATTCTAAGTAGAAAAAAGGGGCATTATTCTGCCAAATGCTTGATACAGTTATCTCCTCCTGTCTACAGGTTGGGGTTATGATGGTAAACAAGTGTGCAAAGTTTCAAAGCCATATGTCAATGGACTTTGAAAATATTTGAGGTATTACAAAAACTTTAACATAAGTGGTAACGCCGACGCAGACGCTCGGGTGACTAGCATAGCTCTACTTATTCTTATCAAATAGTCGAGCTAAAAATTAACATAATTTGAAATTTTTTCCTTCTATAATGGGGGCCGATGTTTGGCCCCTTCACAATTCGAAATTGTACTTTTTTCACAAAGTGACGGAAAGTATTTTACAAATTCAAAACAGATTTCATAAAATATCGAGACTTTGTCTTCGAAATCCACTGTTTAACATCCATAAAACTTGCTTTTTGTCATCTGTGAACACCTAATCGTATTAATCGTGTTAAATGGTATATGCGCATGTTGACTGGGTTAAAGTACCGACTCGAAGCAGATTTCACACAGGTCAGAAATTATAATCAAGCATTTGACCCACACTGTTTCTGGTTTTAAAATGTCGCAAAATTACCATTTTATGTCATTTTTAATGTAAATGCGTAGCACTCCTTTGTAAATTGTTTACTTTTAAGCTGAAATATTTATCTAAGTTGATCAGTACCTCTGGGTTTTCAGGATGTTGGTGTTATCAAGTACAAAATATGCCAAAATTAATGAAGGTTTATAACTGTACGTAACGGTGGGTTTTCCTCATGTATATCTAATCTGATCCCTAAACAATTGTTTATCATTTATAAATTAATGTGTTCAAATGTTTTGTTTCTTTACGAGAAGAAATCTGTGTTTACTAGTGATAAAGATGTTTCTGACATTCAAGCTTATTATCATTTGGCATACCATCTGTTCAAAATACATTGTCATTGTGTATAATAATAATAATAATAATAATAACTAGAACTGCCACTATGATGGCGTGAATACCCCCGCATACCACTTTGTCAGAATCAACAGTGGCCATTTAGAGCTCAAGGACAACCTCCCTGCCAAATCTGAGGTTACTAAGCCAGTGCATTGCTAAGTTATGTATTCTACATGCTTCAAATGTGAAAAAGTCAAAATCAATACATTGCGGACAGGACATTCTTTAGCAATTGAGAAGAAAAGCTTTTTTTTGTCAAGGTCCCTGTGACCTTGAACTTTGACCCAGTGACCTCAAAATCAATAGGGGTCACCTTATAGTCATGATCAACATCCATGCCAAATATGAAGACTGTGGGTTAAAGGAATCTTAAGTTAATGGGTGGACAAACTTTTTGAAGTCAAAGTCCCTATGACCTTGACCTTTGATCCAGTGACCTCAAAATCAAAAGGGGTCATCTTCTAATCATGACTAACCTCCATTCCAAATATGAAGACTGTGGGTCATAGGAATCTTAAGTTATTGGGCGGACAAGCTTTTTGAAGTCAAGGCCCCTGTGACCTTGACCTTTGACCTGGTGACCTCAAAATCAATAGGGGTCATCTACTAATCATGACTAACCTCCATGCCAAATATGAAGACTGTGGGTCAAAGGAATCTTAAGTTATAGGGCGGACAAGCTTTTTGAAGTCAAGGCCCCTGTGACCTTGACCTTGACCTGGTGACCTCAAAGTCAATAGGGGTCATCTACTAATCATGACTAACCTCCATGCCAAATATGAAGACTAAGGGTCAAAGGAATCTTAAGTTATTGGGCGGACAAGAAAAAACCGACGGACGGCCGGACGGACGGACAAGCTGATTCCAGTATACCCCCCTTACAACTTTGTTGTGCGGGGGTATAATAATAATAATAATAATAATAATAATAATAATTATAATAATGATAAGTGATCATGGAAATGCCAGTTGACTACCTCATATTGCCAGTTAAACATTGAATCACTTGCAAAAATCTGCAAGTAGAAAATATTGCTAAATTCTAACCCTGAGTCTTACTAAGTAAAACATAATTAAAACATTACCTAATTAACATGAAGAATGTAAACCTATATTAATTAATGTCATTCAGCAACTTTTAAACATCAAAATTTCGCTTGAATATGTTGTGTTTTCTTTTTTAATAGGAAGTGGGTAGCCATACTGGCCCGTACGGCTAGCCAAAAGTTCTAGCCGTACGTGAGTCACGTATGACTAGCAAAGACACACTTTTAGTTTATTGGATGGCCGTAGGCACTTTTCAAAATTATATGGAAGGCGAAAATGCATATGTTATTTTATGACTTTAAGCCAGGATTTTAACCAAGAAACAGCAATTGTTTTCGTATGTTTACTTTTAAGAGATTAATCTACTTGTTGGCTACAGTAAAGAAAGTACGAATATCGATCTTTGTCATCTCAAGACGTCGAGAAAAAATTGCGTTTGGTTGCAGTTTAATTATATCAATTGAAATAGTTTACAAAATTTTGATAATAATCCTTTTTTTTGTTTCATTAAGTTTAATTTTCGACATCTTCAATTGAAAAAAAAAACCCACCGAGAATAGTTATTGTTGGGCTCTGATAATTTCGTCAATTACGGACAGTATAGAAGTTGGTCCATCATGAAAGAAAGTTTGCATGAAACGCATTCTAAAATTCTATTGTCAGTCCCTGCATGGGTTACTCAGGCTTTAATTAAGGCTAATTAATTGATTGTGCTTTTATGTTCAATATTTATCTTATGTATTTGAAAATTATACAATTATTTTTGCTTTTCACCGGTTTTTTTTCTATGTTCTTTTTATATATTTATTTATTTATTTATTTATATCACTCCGATCATTATTTGTTCGATCCATGTGCTTAATTAACAGAAAATGATTTAATAATTCATCTTTCATACAAATAAAACAACAAATCATAAGCATGAAAATCAACGACGTTATAACTTATATAAGTTATAACATGCAACTTTGACACTTTTATCCAGATAGATTATACAACACTTGTTCGTATTCCTTTTTTTTTACTAAATCATAGTAAATGGCGGAGCATCTTTATTAAAGTGAACACACAAGGACAAATGCGGAGACTTGATTAAAATCCTCGTTTAAAGACACAAAATAACATATGCAGAGCTCCAGATAGCGTGCGTATAAGCGTAAAATACGCATAGAAAATCTAAAATACGCATCACTTTCAAAATTCGTGCGTCAAAGTTACGCGTTACGCACAACAAAATGAAAATACGCTTGTATGTCAAAATTTAAGCGTCAAAGAATAGAAGTGTAAACATTTAATATTCAGAAAGAGGATGTTTTGAGCATAAAAATACAATATATTTCCTTTTTATTGCATTGAAAACTTAAAGTTCTGTTGTCAACAACGCATGTTAAAAACGAAAGTAGCAGGAAGTACAGAAGGGAGGTAACTCCCGTAGATCAACCTGTGAAATTATTGATAAAGTTTGTGCCAGATAATCATAGTAGGGGTTAACATAGTACTAAGTTTGTTTAAGCATCTATTGACATGCTTATGTTTCAATATAAACAAAAAAATATTTCAATTTCTTTCACTTTTGTTGTTGAAACAAAATAACATGTTTTTCACCTGCAGTTTTGTACTCAATATTTTCGTACCCAGTCTACAGTTACGGACAATTTTCTCTCAGACCAATATTTTTTTAAGGACAGATAAAAATCTTGTTTATTTTTCTTTTATTCTAATTTCAACTATAATTGTTCAAACTGGAGCACATGATAAGGTACATGCCAACAGAAATAAAGAAAGAAAAATATTGACTCCTAAATAATAAATTAATTTCAGGGCTTCCACTAGTGGAAGTTTGGGAGTCATTTACTCCTTCATTTTTACATGTGATTCCAAAAATCTTATACTTTTCCTTCTTTACTACCAATATCAGAGATTTTGAAGTCTTTGACTTCCAAATTTGGAAAATGGAAGCCCTGATAATTTTGCTGTGTATCCTAAACTTGAGTTCCAGTATACTCTGGAAGTCTGACTTTACAGGGCATGTTTTGTATTGTTTCACATTGAATCAGTATTTTATTTTTAAAGGTTTTTCTAAAAAATGAAAATAAACAAACAAACAAACAAAAACAATAAGTTTAATTTGTTTATAAAAAATGCAAAATGCTTTTTAGACAGATTTTACCCTTTAAGTTTTTCAGATTTTACATTTTACCCCTCACTCTAAATTTTGAGGGGTAAAAACCCCTTGGCCAAAAAAATTATCTGGAGCTCTGCATATGCATTTTCGACGTCCATATAATTTTGAAAAGTGCCGTACAGCTAGACAATACAGTGCGTCCTGGCTAGCCATACGGGCCCGTACGACTAGCCACTTTCTTTTAAATACAAATAATTTTCAATGAAGAAAACAATTAAAACAAAGTGAATCTACCACTGTATAGCCTAGGCCTAAATCACCTTTATTTAAAAAGTTTAACAATAAGAAAATTTCTACTTTTGCTCAAAATTCGTTAATAATGTTTACAACGGTGCTGAATTTCACATACTTCTTCAACTTCAACAGGGTTGAAATAATTTTAAAAGGCTTGCAGATAAATTATTCACCTTCTCCAACGTATTGGAAGGCAAGTTTTTGATCATAAGTCTTTTTTCCCGATTGAATTCATTTTTTGCCTTTTCAAGCAATTCATTATTGCTCGCCTTGTCTGAGTAATTGTCAGCTAAATCAGTCATTTTAAAAAAAATCCCCAGCATCAGCACACTTTGAAAATCAGCAGGTATAAACATCCGGTAATGTCTAATCATTATTAGGAACGCGGCAATTTTGTCGCTGTGGGATTGGTATTGAACATTCGGACCATGGACATTTCGGACTAGATACATGTAGTCTACTTCGGACCATTTTATAGACATGTCGGACAAGATTTTTGGACGCTTGGGCCCATATTAAAATACTCAGTCGTGATATATTATCTATCATTTATTTTGGCTAAATAATGACAACTAAGATATAAGAAGTGGGGCCAAAAAAAAAATTTTTTTTGATCCTAGCACGGACTTTAATTGACATTGTAATTTAAATCCGTGATCCTAGCAAAGACAAATGTTGTTTTTATAAGTTGATTTTAGAAAGAAAAAAAAACCTAATACAATACAATACAATACAATAAAACACAATAAAATACAATGCAATACAATACAATACAATACAATACACAATATACAGTACAGTGCAATACAATAAATACAATTCCTGAATATATTAAGATAAGATAAGATAAGATAAGATAAGATAAGATAAGATAAGATAAGATAAGATAAGATAAGATAAGATAATCTTTATTTAAAGTCGGTTTCATAAAAACATATAAACATTAGCTATATAAGCTATTTTCCGACATAACTTATTATCCTATAACAATTCAAACAAACAATCTGTATAAAAGAAAATATATAAAAGTTTTAAGATCAATGTACATTTATGAAAGACTCTGTAAAACAGTTAAGATTTATCAGCACATATAAATATGGGTAAGAAAGCATTAAATGATTAAAAGCAAATATACATTACAATCAAACATCACATAAAATTACATCATACAAGAATTCTATTTATGTACACAACCCTAAAATCAGAAAAAGGATTAGAATTTTTTTTAAAAATTTAAATTTTTAAAATAAATTAAAGTAAATGATTCAATTTTATTTTATTTAAATATAGTTGACCTAATTTCCAGTATGATGCTTGAGCATATATCAGTAGCAGCATCTGATATGTACTCAGTCATGAAAATATGGGTGTAACTAAAACATGTACAAGTATCATAATAACAAAACTTAAATTGTGGCTTCTAATGAAATTATCCATTAACAATACCTTTTTTATCTCCTGCTCGTGTGTTTCCTCATGTACCATAATATTTAAGTTCACAAACCTATTGTGATTTACAGAAAAAAAGATTAGTTTCTACATGTCCATGTCTGACTGACTGAACGAGATCATTAACAAATCCACTAGCTGCGTTTCGCATGATCTGCGCGGACGAAAGTCATGTTGATTGTCTACAGAAATAGCATAAGCACCCATGTCTCAAGGGTGACCACTACGTGCATTTTGCAGAAGTATCACAATTGATCGAAAATCAAAGCTTGATAACTTAAGTGAGTTTATTGAAAGGTTTAGTTATCTGTATGTTTTGGTAATTTCATTAAGTGTATTAAATTGATATATTTTGGCACGCATCGAATACAATGTACAGTGTTATGATACATGTATGTAGTATCATATGCCATGGTTATTATATTGAGTTATAATATAAGGATCGGTTTCCGTGAGATCGTCGAATTAATTTATGAAATTTCGATCAAAACTTCGAGTTTATTTATGGGTTTCGATAAAAAAAACATTGAATTAATTGATTGCGTCTGGTAAAACATTGAGTTTATAGATTAAATTCAATGTAAAAAATGATTTTTTTTAAATTTCAAAACATCTTATTTATCTTTAGGCTTTAATAAAAGATAGGTTAAAGAAACTATTTAATTGTATTTTGCAATTAAAAATGCCAAAAACAAGTTTCTTCCATTATCTTAATTGCAAATTACGGCTGTTGTTTTATATATATAAATCCAAAAACTTATGAATCAAATCAATGTTGTACAGGGTTGCATTTCATATAAATTCTTAAAACTGAAACCAGTCTTTAGACCATAACTGAGACAATTCTACGTTTGAAAAAAAATGTCCCAACTTATAGATCCTTTGTTAAGACTGGGACATCAAACATATCTTTTAAGTCCACTTAAAATAAGCTCAAGCACAGAATTCTGACTATCAATGCAAATGAACATTAAGACAATGCGGTTTATTGCGTGCCATTGTAAATTTCTTAACTTTTCTCAGGAGAATGAATTTTAAAAAAATAATAAAATGTTTATATTGAAACCGTTTTTCTTGGTCTTACGTCTTAGGACTTCTGAAACACTTAGGACTGTTAATGAAACAAAGCCCAGACTTTTCTTTTATAAGATTTTTCTTTGACATTCTATCTGTAGACAATTTATGACGAGACAACTTGTGACGTCAAAGAAACATCAATAAAAGTTCGGAATGTTAGACATCTCTAGGAAGTTGTTTCTCTCTCCGTTTAGCTGTCTCTCTGTCTCTCATATTTCTAGAATAAGAATAAAGTATGCACTTTTACTTAGTATGAAGTACTCCAAAGGGATTCAGAGTAACCTTTAATACATGAAATTAAAAGAGAGAATTTGTTGGCGATGATATGATAGATCAAAGCTGTTAATTTCACTTCAATCACTTGTGATATTTATCGTTTATATTTTATAAACGATGAAAGACAAGAATTTACTTTACTTGGTTATATTAATATCGGTATATTCCTAAGTTTTCATACTGGTTTTGAATAACAACATTTCCATACTGTGGAATTTTCCATATTGTTTGCTTGGTGTTGTTAGTTTTTTTTTGTTTTTTTTTGGGGGGGGGTTGATTTTTTGTTGTTGTTCTTCTTCTTCCCCGATTTTTTTCTAATTACAAAATACATGAAGTAACAGACGTTAAAATAGTGTTGCGCCAAATGTATACGCACGAGCTCTGTTCATTATACGATTAATTTTAACATTTTGTCCAAATTTGTTCACAATAAAGAAATCAAACCATGTATGTTGCATAAATCTAACATAGACAAAACATGATAAATTAGCTTGCTATCTAAACTAGTGTAACTTAGAAGCAGTCTCGGAAATTATTCAATTGGGCATATTCTATGACTAGGTATCTAAAATAATCGATTTAATTATTTTAATATTATTTACATGTATATGATTTTCTATGATACATATATTTAGAATTTACTGGTATACACTGTGAGAACTTAAGCAACGATTTTTTCCCTCATATCCAGAATTTATTATTTATCACGCATTACTATTCCTCGATTCAATGAATAAGTTCAATTTCTCGTTACGGTAATTAGTCACGTGAACGGAATGTCTCACGAAACACAAGCATGTACATGTATACATTCTGTGAATTAAAAATATATGTAAAACCTGTAAAACCCAATAATGTGCAAAATCTTTCCTCACAGCTATTGATTTAAAACCAATTTATACATTGTAGTTTGAACAGTCTACCAACATGGAACTGTAACGTTCAGCTTTCGTACAAAATTAAAAGACTCAACCTAAATGATATGCATGTGCTAATAACTGGTTATATTTCTGACTATACATACACATGTATATCTATAGGTGCACGACCATGATTTGCCAAGGATGAAACTTAAATAAATTTAAATAAAATGAATTTGAAAAAAAAAACAGTGGCGTTTCACAAACTTGTCCGTATCAGTACATTATACTGTCTATTCAAAGTTTAAAAGGATTTTTTAATCAAGATATAAATAATATGTGAACCGACTTTACTCTGTGTCTTGTGGTCGCTACAAAAAGAAAGCAACACAAAAATGCGAATACAAGAAGGGACGTGACTTTGCATTTGCATGTTCGAGCAAAAAAAGGCGAAAAGACGAATAAAACAGGCAAAAATACTAATCAAAGAATGTATCACATTTTAGCTTCTTATTTGTTGTGTCTTGGTATTTATTTCTTTTTTTTTTCTTTTCACATTTCAAATGGTGTTTTTTATTATTTGCTTTTTTTGCCACACATGCCATATTATATCATGCCACAGCACGCAGTCCAATTAAAGAAGAAAGTTGCATGATAATTAAATTTGCAATGGTTTAAATAACATTATTTAACTTATAAAATTGTTATAGCATTTTGGTTTTGTTATTAAATATTGCATTGCAGTATTGATATGAGCATGTGCATGTTAAACAGGAGCGCGAAAATGCAACAATGCAAAAAAGCGAAAATGCAACAATGCAAAGCAACGACAAAATTTAACAATGTAACATTGCTGTGTCTCAAAAAGTAAAGATACCACAAATTTAATGGAAAAAAACAGAAATAATTTGTATTTCGTCTAGTCGCCTTTCTCTTATTTTTGCCAAGGCGAAAACACGAACACGAAACTTAAAATTCGACTTTTTTTGGCATAAAAACCAAAAAATAAAACAAAAAAATGAGCTACTTCGGATGCGCAGACTGGCCTGGCTCTATACTGGTGGCAAACGTTAATCAATTTTGGGTAAATATTATTAAATACAAATATACCTATAATACAATGTCTATTTAGTATCATAATATACATTTTGAATCAGAAAAAAAAAACTACAGCTCTGATTTCAGTTTGGAACATCCATAAAATGAATCAATAATAAATGAAATTGAATAGCGAGAAAACTTTTTTCATGAATATTTTATGAGAATGGACTAAACATGAATACATAAAATCAAGTCCAGTTTGTTAAATGTATGCTTATATTGATTTGAATTTGTTTGATTGTTTTCAAAAGCATTTATGCAAATTTATGCGTATTGTTTACAGAAAACTATTATGAAAGGATGGATTACCGAGTGCCATTCTAGATTTGGATTAGAAATGTTTGACATAAATTGCTTCGGTGCTCAACGCCACGAAAAGAACCGAAGCGTCTGCTAGGTTATGCTTTTAATGAAATTGCAATTTCAATGAGCGCATCTCTAATAAAAGCCAATTGTTATGCATTGTATTCTCAATTAATTTAAGTGCATACTCGTATATATACATTTTCATATATTGTAACTTGCTACATGTTATAGTATATTGAAAATACCATGGGACTAAAATATAATCAAGAATCAGTTAGGCGGACAGAAAAAAAACATACATCTATATACAAATCTTTACAGCATACAACGTTTCCATGTTCCGAAATAGCTAGGTAACTTGTAATTTGGAGTTTTATTGGTTATCGACTTGGTACGGTACACTCAAATAGAGCATTGTCTTTACTCATATAGGTTTTTATTATTGTCAACTTCCTGCCTCAGCCTCTGTTCCAATACCGGATAGTGTGTCAATTGTTCTGTTGGATCGTTCCGTGACGGAGATAAATCTTTTGTTATTTCTATGTAAGCAGATCAATGGTGGACTAATTGCAAAATAAATAACAATTTTGTTCAATTACTCGTGTGGACCATCTAATTATACCAGCGATAGTGTTTAATTACTTTTTTGCATGGAAACGTCATTAAATATTCAATTTTCTGTATTGCCATGTGGAATCGATGAGCTAATAGACTACAGTTACTGTTAATAAAGTCATTTTGCAGTGAGTATATCAGACGAGAGTTTTATCATAATTTCTTTCTCGATATTAAAATATTTTATCTGGAATTTTGGATGTATTTATGCAATGCTGGACTCGGATTATCTAATGGGAAAGTTCATATTAATTTTACAGATTGCGAAAAACGGACGTTACCCAACGGAACTAACGCTACGTCACTGACGTTGAAAGATGACGCGAATGGGGCAATGCAATATACAGTGGCGGTTGTGTTTGTTTACAGTATTGCAGTGCTCGGTGTTTTCGGACTTGGATTATATAATCGGAGGAAACACCGTCGGGATCACGTGGACAATGAAACAAGAGCGTTCCTTAAGAATTACGAGGACGTTAAACGAATTTGTGAGCAGAAGTCACGCTTAGGTGCTATACAAGCTTTGTTACATCAACTTCACAACGAACCAATAGCTAATTGCACAGAATCGTCATTAAATAATCTTGCCCTTTTGCCAATTTCTATTTCGAACGTTAACGACGTCGAGAGTGATTCCCAATATCCGCTGCTTGACGGCAACGGAGTTTTTGGCGATATGTCAGCAGACGTAGCTCTGACGTCGGATAAAGGAAAGAGTTCTCCAGCGCGCGCGAAAATGACGTTGCTTGGAAGTTCACGAAGGTCGTACAAGGAATGCGAGAGGTGCTTGGCTAGGCGGGGTGTTGTAACAACTTTAGACAAATGTATGTGCAGATTTTACGACTTTGAAACCGATGATTATAGCCTGTTTACGGAAACTGTCGATTTGTCAAATGTAGGTAGTGAAACAAACGTACAAGAACCGCGAATCGATTCTGAAAATTGTGAACATAGATTTAATGATGTATCATTTATGTAAATTCTTTTCATTTTCTATAAGCGTTTCTTCAATGCTTTTAGCGGAGTCCATTAAAGTACAATAAGACATGGATCAATGTATAGAGATATAGAAACATCTGCCATAGCATCAATAATAAACGTTTGTGAACTGTGAATAAATTCGAACATTTAGATTCAACATTATACGACACATAATATTTTTACATATACATGTACTTTTCGGATCAGGTTTCGTTGTCATATAAATAAATTGTCGACAGTTTACTTTTATAGCATTAGCACTATATGAAAACAACATGAAATTTTGCAGATGAGAATACATGCTGTATTTGGAAACATCGACTGGAGATAACAGACCAGTGAAATATTAGTCGAAGAGAAAATGTTAATATTTTATTAACGCAATAAAAGTATTTAAAATGTTTAGGCTAATGGAAACTGCTCAATAATTTAGCGTCTAAATTGACAGTGCAGAGAATTGGATTTATACAATCATCGTAAATAGCGCGAATACTAATTGGAAACACAGATAAAAATCAAAACTTGAGTATTTTCATCATATATATATACGATCTGTTCTTAATGTCACAACGATTACATGTAAATTATTTTTATATTTATCAGGTAAAACAGAATATACAGTGAATGACTGTTCAGAAATTATTACTTTTTCCCCGAAACATGTGACAATATTACGACCGACAGATGACTGAATAACTCACCAAGTACGAATCCCAGCTACCAGATCAGCAAGCCTGTGCTTATACCAAAATAGGGAGAGTCCAGAATACATATATTCGTATACTCTCACTAAATTGAATACTGTTCAATTTTGGAGTTTTAATGATGAAATCCGATCAATTTTCAATATTCCAAGTTCATGGCAACGCGATAAATATCTCGCGCTTACGGCAAAAGGCAAATTAGATGTTTTACTGCAAGAATCAATTTAATTACGAGTACACCATTATTTAACCATCTTAATTGATCTAATTAACAGTATATTTTATCAGTTAATTGAAAATAAATGGTGCAAATAGAATTCAGCTTGTTGCAATTTCAAATGACTTAAACGTAAAGGATAAGGGCCCCTCATATTTTCACAGCTTTGTAGGATGCTATAGGGAGAATGCTTTCATGGGGTGTTATTAAAGACATGAACATTGAACTTTTACCCTTAAAGCATAATAGTGTACAACTTAAGATACCACCACATTTTCATTACGTACATTTTATACATTTTATCTGGCTTTGATAGTAAAAAAAGAATTCTGGTACGTACAAAGATAGGACTTTGGCTGTTACCCTGTTAAATTTGCGTAATAAACATGCCTTGTTTTGAAAATGAAGGCAACTAGTACTGTCTGCCCAGGAACCATGCGGTGGCTGAACTGTTCAGACTACGCGGCGGATGTTCAGACCGGCTATACTGCATGGTGGCAACGGTTAAAGGTTAATTATTATCGGTATCAGCAGGTTGACAAAACCAAGCAGAAGGACACGTGTTCATGATGGATATTCGGGGAAAGTTTTAAATGTACCAGTGGGAATATTGCTATAGCAAAACACACAAAAAAATTACCCAGATTGCTCGTCAAATGTTACGTGTAATGTCATTGAAACACTCTGGGCAATCGTTTATTTTGACTCAAACCACACATGCCATTTGTACATTATTCTATCTTTTGTAATTAGTAGATTCGAGTTTATTATTCATTTATTTTAAAGCATTTACGCATGCTTCAAATGCACGATTTGCAGATAGGAAAATGACATTGCTCACAAGAAAAATAAAAAGTGCCAGTGAAATGTTTGTCAAATATCAAATCTTTTAAGCTGGCACTATTGTTTTGGATGCCATTTTTCTCAAAATCACATTTTTTGAAAAGCAGACATGACATATTCAGTTCATATTGCGAAACATACGTTTTACCAACGCGCCACCTTGCCTAGTATTCCAAGATTAAAATACCTTATTAAATAATTTATAGAATATTTGCACATACATTATATCACTGGCTTGGCGAGTGGTTAAATCGCCCACCGGACTAGTAATCTAAGGATCGCTATCCGCGTGGGTTCAAACTAAAGTTCATAGCATTTCTAGCATCTTTGACAGGTATTATTCTGATCTTCATTTAAAGAAACTCCACTGAGGTCAAAAGCCTAAAATACTTAAAATCTGATTTTTTACATGTATCAGCTGGGGCACTTTAAACAGAAAGATATGCAAAAGATAATTAAGAAATATACTCAGAAATAAATTGAAAATCTTATTTTTATTGCATTCTTAGTCCGATTTGAGTGAAAATCATTGCAACACTTTTCAATTTTGAGTCAATTTTCACTATTTGAATAATTATTCTGGAAAAAATGGAGTGGGCGAATGATCTGAAATAGTGCACAAAAGTTATTTGTCTAGACCTTCATCTAATGATTATTTATCTAGAAGAAACTATTTACAATCTTGTCATGTCAAAAAAACATCCGTGGGGTCCCTTAAAAATCCTCTTTTTCTCCTCTTTCGTCTTAGTGCGTTTACTTGCACTATATAGACCAAGTTTTTATAGTATTTGAAGCACCTTGACTTAAAGCCTCTGTAATGTCTGTAAGTTTTCCTCTCAAGGGAAGGCAAACACGTGTTGTTGTTGTTATTATTATTATTATTTATTTTCATTTATTTATTTATTTTATTTATTATCTTATATATGATTTATATTAATAATCGATTAAACCATGCATGAAAAAAGTATTACTGAATGTGAAACAATTTGTATTAAAATAGCATGATGTGAACAAACAAAAGTTAGTATTTTGACTACCATATATACAAAATACTGAATCACTATAACTTTATTTATGTCCAAATGTCAGAAGAAGTAGAACATGGTACAGAAGAAAAAAGAGAAGAAGAAGAATTCTTTATTTGAAAATCCACATATAAACAACAACAGTCTGGTTTAGGCTAATAAGCCCTTGGACCAGACACAAAATAAAACAACAACATCTTGAGCAGTACAATACATTAAACAATACAATGACGGACATTGAATAATAAAATTACCCACTTACAACATATTGTTACATACATATATTATCAGAACTGTATGATGTCAGTTACATTTTAATTTATATCAAAAACACAATACTGTATATTTTCATAAATGTTTGTCTCTTTGATTATTTGGCTTATTACCTTGTTCCGTGTGTGTTCTTGTTACTACAAATCAATGGTAATGAATGTCTACTTGTATCATTGTAATATGCTCATATATATATTTATAATGTTAAATGGAAAGGCTTTTGGGGGTATTAATAATAGCATTCTGGAGCTTAATGGACCTTTAAAGTTTGTTACAACAATATGTATATGTTATATGCAAAAACAAGAACAAAACAAAAAACTTTTCCGTTTTCCTATTGTATCTAAAACACACAAAGAAAGAAAGAAAGAAAGAAAGAAAGAAAGAAAGAAAGAAAGAAAGAAAGAAAAGAAAGAAAGAAAGAAAGAATAAGAAAGAAAGAAAGAAAGAAAGAAAAAAGAAAAAAAAAGAAAAAACAAAAGATTGAAAGAAACAACAACAAATAAAACCCGCAGTGTACGTTTCCATAAAGTTTGCTTGAAACCACCCCTTTCCACACTGGTCCGACGATTTTATCAAATGACATTTTACATATAGTTTGTTTGAAAGGGATTGATAACAAAAACAACAATGTTCCCTGAAAAATGAATGAGTGTGTAATTTGTCACCAATAATGCAAATGTAATCAAATGCAATGAATGAATAAATACGCTTAAATATTACAATAGTTCTGCCTTTGTAGCTGAACACAATAACAGAAGTTCATCAAGACCTGAAAGCAAACAAATATATCTCCCTCAAACATCTATTATTTACCCAAAGGACGTAGTAAGAGAAAAATCAATTTACTTTTGTAATTCCGCAAGAACTCGTGACCCTGCACTGTTTTAATTATTCCAGTACAACTCACAAATTCAGCTCATAGTAGCATTGTCTCCCGTTTTCAAATTAAATTATCACACCCAAGACTAACAAAGGCAGATAATGAAGATTACAGCGTTTCACAATTTATATGAAATTATAGTTGGCAAAACTGATTAAAATGGTATGAAAGGCAGGAAAACCAATTAATGCCGCTTCCAGCAGAGAATTTAATTAAGTAACTATTTTGGAACTAAACTTTCCCAATCTTTCTAACACTACTTTCTTTCTAAGGCTAGACAAATAAACTATTAAGTTAGAAACTGTAAGTCAGATTGACGTTAGCCCAAGTAGGGTGTTAAAAATGATCTAACAATCGGTATTGTACCAGCTGGGGGGATATTTGACTTATTTAAAAAAACATGTGTGCGTCTTTCTGGGTTAAATATTTCTAGGTTGAAGGGCAACATAGTTATAGCATTGCCGATATGTCAATGTCCGAATGAAACAAAGTTCAAGTTTTCCTTTACAGGCCCATTATGCTCCAGAAATGCTCTCATTTCTCAAAAAAAAAATTTTTATGACACATGATTTTATATTAAGCGCTGTTTTATTCATGTAACAAAAAAACCCCCATCTAACATGTTCCAAAACCATCATTTAAACGTTATAAAAGTCATTTTGACCTTTTAAAAGAAGCAGATATTTATTCATTTCTGGAGCATAATGTACCTTTAAAGGATATACTGCTATTACTGACGAATGTACTATATTAATTATAGAATGCGTAAAACAACTGTTATTTAACGCACAAAAATATAATAACTAAAACAAAATAAAATGTCTCAAAATATTTCTCTCCAAAATTTGGTTCCTTAATCATAAAAACATAGCAACATACAAACAATTCTCCACTGTAGTCGCCACAATATACCAATATACCATTTAATTTCGTGTTGTTTCTTTCTTAAGATTATTTTTGAGTCTCCATAGTGTTCTCACCAACGCAGAAAAAAATAACTACTATTTGATATAAGAGAATCTCATTTTGTTTAAAAGATTTTCATTTGATCTTACAGAATTTTCCAGTAAAAACTTCTCAAGCTCCCGACTTAATCCGTACATTAATTTATTTTCATAATTATCATGCAAATGAAGCACATAGTCGAAGATACCAAATCACCAAAGCTTAGTATTGATATATAACACCCCAGAATATTCTTTTGTCTTTATTATACAACACAAGTAACCAACTGTTATTACCAAAGCCAAGGCCAAAATGAAAAAGAAACAATAAAAGTACATATAATTAACGCTCAAGATTTAGATTTATATTTCCCTGTAAAATGTGATGAATCTAATTGCATAATTACATAAACGAAATCTTGAAATGCCTTTATGAATTTAAGAGGTAATGCGTCAAAAATGTCTTGATTTTAAGAAAAATAATAATGTCACAGCAATAACACGTATAATATCATTTTTTATTTTTCCAACGTTTCGGCAAATGTATGCCTTTTTCAAGGTAAATAAATAATAATAATATCAACGGACGTGACGTCGTAATTTTACAATTAACGTCACGCCCACTTTAGCGGAAAAACGAACAAATACGAACAATTCCAATTCATGATAAAAGAGATAAGTGCACCAAACAAAGCATCAAAATATAAAAACGACACAATAGATATCGGATTAATAAATACGAATATTTCCTATAGGGTTTATTATTTTTTTTTTTTTTTTTTTTTTTTTTTTTTGATTTTAAGAAGAAAGCGCATCATGCCTTTTTGAGGAATTAAATTTAGAATTAAAGACTGAAAGGGGGACAGAACGGCTATGTGAAAAGCACTATATGTTCTTTGTGAATAAAGAAAAGAAACGCATCAATGGTTTGTGTGAATTTAAGAAAGAAAAGAATCAAAAGTTTGTCAATTTAAGAATATGAATGTGTAGTATTAGCCTTGTACTTTTTGGATGGGAGGGCTTTTGTCCGTTTCCCAGTCTTTATGCAAAAAATATATCGAACAAAATGTTTGAGGTCTTACCATTGAAATGCGCCAAAAAGTTATTGCGAATAGGAAGATATTTACCCCTTCATACTCAAACTTTTGAGAATTGTATTAATTTGAAGGTTCTAGTTTACAGCAATATAAGGCATCAAGCTCTTAACGGAGGAATATGGCATTGAGATGTCCGGGGAGGCATTTTATTTTATTTTTGTTTTTTGATCAGCGATTTTCTTATTATATTATTATTTATTATTACAAAAGTATACCCTATAACAGATCATGTCAAGATTTGACCTCAAAGTGTGACCTTGACCTAGGAGGTAGGGGTCCGGTTTTACACATGACACGTCGCCTCATTATTTGGAACATCTGTGCTAAGTAATTTTAAAAAGCCCTTGAACGATGAAAAAGTTATGGACAGGACACAAAATATACCCTTTAACATACCATGTTAAGCTTTGACCTCTAAGTATGACCTTGACATTGGAGGTATGCGTTCGAGCGTTACACATGAAACATTGTCTCATTATTGTAAACATTTAAGCGAAGTATTTTGAAAATCCCTTTATTGATGAGAAAGTTATAGACCGGACACGACATATACCCTTTAACCGACAATGGTGACCTTGAATCTCCTCGCGTGACCTTGACCTTTGAGGTAGGGGTTTACATGATGCGCATGACACATCGTCTTATTATGACAAACATTTGTGCTAAGTTATTCCAAATTCCTTTCATAATTGGCTTAGTTATGGACCAGACCGACGGCCATACGGTCGGACGGAAATTTGCTGAAGTTTCCATCATTTAAATAGTTCTACAATATTTTAACTATTTATTTGCACTCCGATGTACGAGGCCAGGGGAATATTTTAATTAGTGGCAACAACTCAATTTAACCATGATTTGCAGGTGAAAGTACATAATATTCTGTTGGAATGATTATTGATTTTTACAACCAACAGTCAATTTTCGCACGATTTGCACGTGCAATCAAATTTGCGCAAGTCATTTAAATGCCCGTCAGAAATGAAAACATATCAAATTTAGTTTATGTATAGAAAATGCGCTTCCACATCGTACAATTGCCAAGTGGGTGTCATTGTTAAAGGAAGGTAGAACTAATGTTAAGGATGATCCCCGCGCTAAGCGGCTAATTTTCACTACCTATGAAAAAGAATTGTCAGCACTGTCAAAGCCGTAGTTGCTGAAGATGCAAGATATAACGTGAAAAAGATAAGTGACGTATCGCGAGCCTAAGGGTGTCATATGCGTTTTCCATCTTAGAGAGAATAGTTAAAGTTAAGGAAAGTGTGCGACCGTTGGATCCCGCATTTGCTAACTTCTGACCAGAAAAGGAAGCGGGTTTAAAAGACTAGGCCTTATTCCCTAGGTTCAAAGATCGAGACCCTAGACGCCCCGAGACAATTTTTTTTTTTAGCCCGACAATAATCTCAGTAACAAAATATAATGCTGAAGTTACATTACAATGAACCCAAGGTTCGGGGTGCGCAGGATCAAATTACACCATTATAATGCACCTATCAGCCTTAGTTCAAGCTTATTTAGAGGAGTAGAGAATTGAGATTTTGCTACATCCCACATATAGTCCTGACATCTATCCTTGTTATTTTTAATTAAATCCGTACATCAAATCTTGTATTCGCGGTCGCCAGTTCGAAACCCGTAGTGCCGGTCTAAAGCGCTCTCTGTCAGTGTATAAACAGTATACCCAAAAGACAGTTCAAAAAAACTTTCTCGGAATCTGAGGCTGGAATAATAATAACTGTCATATGTTGCTGTTCGGATCGGAAGGGGACTCGTCCATGGGCGAGTTCCCGAGAGACGGATATAATTGCGATCCGAACCACAAACATGTCAGATATTTTTTCTTGCCTTATTCAATCATATTTTACATTCTTTACCTTAATTATACAATTTACAATGAAAATTTATGTAATTACACCCATGACTATTATCTCAAAACAGCTATGAAATTACAACTTCATTGTCATCCTAAGCATGCCATTGTATAGCAAGCGACTCATCTGGCACTCCCAATGCCAGATGAAATTTCCCGCAGGAGTAAAACTAACGGAAACACCAGTCTGATATGTCAGAAGTGTAGTGGTCCATGGGACACTACTTATCATTTTTCACAGGCATGACTTACTTATAAAAACGCGCTGCCGTTGACACTAATTTAATATGCCCCTGTATGTCTGTATCACTTCAATATTGCTTTATTTCACTAAAATACAGTATATCAAAACTACAAAGGGTAAACATGTTCCTGACATGCTTTTCACAACAAGTTTTATACTATAAGTAAGTCCACCCTTATAATTTCAAAATTTAGGCATTATAAAGGTACTTCTATAAACATCTTGGCCAATTTTAAGAGCATATAAATTTAATTTTAGTATACAATTCTTAGCAAGGGCATGGGAGCATATGGTAAGCACATTAACACAAATACTGATAAAACTTTTAAGATACATGTACATTTGTAAATAACTTCAGCACACTAAAATTGTAGTGGTCATCTTGCTTATAATTATGGTAACTTATTACAGTAGCGAGGGTAAACAAACCTTAACACAAACACACAGGCCCCCATGGAGGTCTTAGACTATCTTAAGATTAGTCAAAATCATCAAATGGTTAAGGAAGAGATGTTGTTTAAAGAAATTTTTGAAAACGTCAGACAACAGAAACATTGTCAACACAAAAGCTAACCTCCGAAATAATTACAACTTATAAGCAAAACAATAAATTTGAAACTATTCTTTATTTTACACAGACAATGTATCCCTCAGATGCAAAACAGTATGATCAATAAATTTCAGCTCACAGCTCTAATAAATAAAATATTTTCTCTCATAAAATACTAGATTTTTTAATGTTTTAACAAGTGGTGGAAAATGACATGCTAAACTGCCATATAAGATGAGTCAAGTTATTTGAAATGTTGCTATTTCCACCGCCTTTAGGAATGAGTTGCATGCTTTGGATAACATTACTTCCCTCACCGTCTTTTTTAATAACAATTCAATATACAATATGCAAGAATAAGAATCTAAAACTTGCTGTCATCACATACAGGAACACTTAACTCTCTGGGAACTGTTTATTGCATGAAAAAACTTGGAAACACCTTACAGCCAGATATATTCGGGTCTATAAAGATACAACACTCGAATAATTTCCACAAATTATATAAATATATCTCTTCATCTGTCTAATTATGTCTGCAAAATGATGAAAATCGTATTTTGAGGTGTCCAAAATGACAAAATGTACATCTCCATCACCGATAAATGTCCCTCAGGTAAGCTAGACAATAACCTAGGAAGTCAATCATTACTCCACAGCAAGATTCAAGGTCATTTCAAGGTCGTGTGTAAGGGTGCCCAGATGTTGCAACTTTTATCTGCGTTTTTATCGAACTTTGAGCTTTAGCCATAGTAGGATCTGAAATGATGAAATAAAAAAAATTGGCGTCAATTACAACATGCAATATAAATTCTACAGTATATACTTTCAAAGATAATCACAAATAAATCACTTATTGGCCCTGATCCTGAATTTGTAAATTGGAATCTAGGATTTTCAAGCAGATACATACAGAACTATAACAAAATAACTGATATTTTAATCCAATTATTGCTATAAATAATCATAAGTAACTATCGTAACTTTCAGAAACAAAATTCATAACTATTGCATACTTTAAGATAAGAGCTGTAAAAATACAAGTAAACAGGTAAAAATAACAGAAAGTTTTACAAAATTTCAAATGTCAAACATGTATATACATATGTTTATCCATGATAGTTAAATTATTTAATACCAATTCATTGTTGCAGTCACAGTTAATTACAGGGTATGGAAAAATGTCTGTAAGAGAAAACGATATTCTAATCAACCTTTCAGCAGTGTTACCTCGCACCAACAGAGTAAAGGACTTATGGCTATTTTCCTGTTAGCAGAAGACCTCATGTGCCCCTTCATGCATTATTTCAGGATAAGAGTGGGCACCTAAGTAGAACCACCAATGTTCCGTAAGCTAGCTAGATAGCTTCCTCACATGAAGGAATCCAAAAAGCCCCTCAAGGGATTTAAACCATCAGAGGTGAGGAGCAACTCAATGAAATTAATCACTTGCCAAACAAACACTAGCTGTAGCATTAAATGAGTAAAAAGCAATACTTACTCTGCATTTTCTGTTGTGACATTCCTGCTTGAGGTGATTCTGATAGTCGGCCTCGATTTGTTTTCAAGTTTTTCCCGTGCAATGAAGCACTGACCAGCGTGTCTCTATCAGCAACTGAAGATGTTTGTGGCTGACTATTCTTGTGACCTGCACACAGATAAAAGATTTATGTAAGGAGCTATACCATTGATCGAATTCAGATTTGTGTCTAAAATCAGCCAATCTAAATTCTAAAATGGGTTCTGAACAAAATAAATGGACTAACTTTATATAAGCAGGAAAATCTATTTTTAGCCTAAATGACCTTGACCAAATCAAACTGAAACCTGGATCATTACAGATAATAACATATCAAGTATCTCATATATCAGCCAATAAATAAAGGTGTTTTGTAGAGCTGTCATTGATTCAGTGCAAAGCATTTTGACAATACATCGATATTGGTTAGCAAATATCAGCGATACACCATATATCCATAAATACTCTTATTTTCATGTACATTAAACTATTTTCACACCTGTTTAAATGATTTTAGTAAAAAAATGTTCTGTACATGCAAATATGTTGTGTCCCATCTCTAAACGACCTTTGCACCATTTTTTCTGACTATATTTTGTCATTACTGCTTTGAAATGTGTCCATTATGAAACAACAGTGGCCACCTACTTTTGTATATGTTTTTAGTGAATTTTCATAATTTATAAGCATTTAAATAATTATTAAAAATAATCAATTTTTTCAAATGCATATCGATTATTGATCAACAGAAAAATATCAACGGTACATCGATATAGCCTCTAATGATGACAGCTCTAGTTTTTTGAGAAAATGGTAAGTGTAATGAAAAGACAAAAGGAAAGATGGATGGATGATGGACAAGAAAGCATTTATGTCCTAAAGTCATATATTTTATTTTAAGATGGCAATAGACACTTACTAGAATCATTCTCCCACTCTTCTCTAGTTGAGTTTATGATATCTAGAAGATTACTAGTCACTTTATTCAAATTGTTCAATTGTTTCTGAAAAATAAAAGAAGGATTTTTTTTAAACCTAACCTCACCAATTTTGTATAATGGGTTTGCTCTGCTTTGAATTGGGAACAGTCCATTACTAGTTTTAGGGACTTCCGACATTAGACTGCACTAATGTCATGACAGTCAATACTTACTAAAATGTGGCATGAACAATTTATTTTGGTCGCAGACACTTTTCAGGTCAATGCACAGGATAAAATCAACATAGATCGAATATTGATACTATAGAGTTGGTTACTAAATTTTATAACTCTGATATTGATATAACTGAAATTCATCTTATTAAACTATTAAACTCAGCTAGGTGTGAGCCATATCAACTTATCATTTCGGCATTTCTAGTCTCCACATTATTGTACTACAGTTAAACTTCGTTCGCTCGAACTCGGATCGCTCGAACACCTCCCTTCGCTCGAACTCATCGTCCGGTCCCGGCGAATTCCCTATATAACATATATTGTTCTACCTCGGATCGCTCGAACACTGATCGCTCGAACTCTCGAACAGGTTGTTCGGTCCCTCCAATAGAAATATAGTGAAAATCACACGTTTTCGGTCGAACACAAAAAAATTTCAAAAGCTGTGAACGATCCGCTAATTAGTGACAGTCGGCGTCTCGTGTTTTTAACACCTTGTGATAAAGGCAATTAAGGTTGAATTATACAAAAAGACAGGTGATATTCGCTCATCGATTTGTTTGTTTTGTTTACCGACCGTTTTTATTTAAGATGCAAACAAAACGCATATTAATGGTAATTAATGATATTAAAAGAAATGAGTGAGATGTGCTGAAACATGTGATAGAGACATTATTGAGGACTTAGTTTCGGCACGGAACTCAACCGAAAGTGATCCAACAGAAACGGAAGAAGATGATGAACTGGGGAAGCTATGAAAGCTTGTGAAATATTAAGAACTTTTAAATGACTTTTCCCGATAATTGTGTATTGACATGTGCTATAAAATCTTGCTCTATTAATAGATTGATACTTGTGTGTGCTATTTTTAGATTGTGATCCATGATAAATGAACAGACTTGCCTGTGCTATTTTTAGATTGTGATTCACGATAAATGTAAACTCTGTATTATATTGTGTATAACAAAATAAGATAAAGAAGTATGTATTATTTTTATTGAATTCATAGATCATTGTTACAATGTAACAACAATACAGATGGATAAAAACAAAAGGTAACATTCAAACAGGTATATGCCTCTATGTACGATCTTATTTTTCAACCTCGGTTGGCTCGAACTACCGATCTCTCGAACAAATTTTCACGGGCCCTCCGAGTTCGAGCGAACGAAGTTTCGACTGTACTTATATATTCATCTTTGCTAAGAATAATCTATTCAAGTCTTGGATAAAATAAAACCTGTCTGAGTAATGATTATATAAGGCTGTGACTGTCATAGGGTGCAAACCACTTGCCCATAACTGTTGTGGGTTTGAATCCCGACAGTGAGGAAGTTATCCAACTAGCTTACAGAATGTTGGTGGTTCTACTCTTGTGCAGGTTTGTGCCCGATAATGCACAGAAGCAGTGGCTTTTTATCTTAACTCATGGAGAAAGACTTGGGTTATGGTGCATTATTTCAAACACAAACAAGCACCTGAGTAAATCCACAGACTTTCCATTAGCTAGATGGACAGCTCCCTTACATATTTAAATTCATAGAGGAGAGGTGCAAATGATTTGCTGTCAGATACCTTAACCACTCAAAGTGCTCTTATGCAAGTGGATTTGTAATATAAACATGTTAATTTTAAATACATTGTACAATGTAGTGTTAAAGTGGCATTGTCAAAATATTGTGCTCAAACCAACAAAAAAGTGGCCTCAAATTTCCTCATCCTGTTGAATATATTTAAGAATGAACTTGTCATGCATTCAATTAAGAGCTATAAAATATGAAGTATTCAAAAATAATTATAAAACAAACACTGAGCCAACAGGAAGTTTTTAAATCAATTTAATTCTCGCAAGACTGCAAAGATGTGCAAACAAGCTAGGCTCTATACTGGTGGAAAAGACAAGATAATATGCCACTTACATATCAAATGATACATAGTTCCAATGTGACAACAAGTCAATGCTAGGATTGAAAGATGAACATAGAATAAGACAAATAAAACAGGAAATGACAATGTTAACTTACTGTAGCTAAATCTTGGGTCACCTGCTGGGCCTTGTTTGTAAGTTGTTGAGTCTTCTCCTCCACATCTGGTTCCAGTTTTGTTCTCAAGTAATTGGGGGCAATTTCATGATTAAACATCATCACTCGTCCCTCTGTCAATTTCTATGGAAACATATAATAAAGAATGTCAATATACCAAATAACTTGCTAATGTCAGAGTGGAACAACAATAAACCAAATAACAGATTACTTTCCACTTGTAATGTAAATATCCCAAATAACTTCCTAATTTCTAACAGGAATGTCAATAATTTCATTTACATTTATATAATATCCAATAATTAAATCATTCCTAATCTTACTGTCAATATACCAATTTTTTATTTTTAAAAAAGAATGTCAATATAAATAACAAGAGGGCCATGATGGCCCTGAGGTCGCTCACCTGTATTTAGGCCCCTGGAGCAGGGCTAGTTTAAACCCCAGGGCTTTTATTTTAACAAACTTGGTAGACACTCATTAGAAGATGTTTCATGATGTTAAGTTTTTACTACACACTATAATGAAAAACAATGACCTCCGCCCCCCCCCCCCCTTTGGCAGGGCCAATTTTAACCCAAGGGCTTTTATTTGAACAAACTTTGTAGACACTCACTAAAAGATGTTTCATGCTTATTATCTAAACTCTACCTATTTGGGTTTTTTCAAAGAAGATTTTTTAAGTTTTTGCTATACACATATAGGGAAAATCAATGACCCCCGGGGCGGGCCAATTTTGACCCAAGGGCTTTTATTTGAACAAACTTGGTAGACACCTATTAGAACATGTTTGATGCTAAATATCTTAGCTCTAGCTCTATGGGTTCTTTAAAAGAAGATTTTTTAAAGTTTTTACTATATGCATACAGGGAAAATCAATGACCCCCTGGGGTGGGGCCAATTTTGACCCCAGGGCTTTTATTTGAACAAACTTTGTAGACACCCATTAGAAGATGTTTCATGCTAAATATCTTAGCCTTAGCTCTATGGGTTCTTTAAAAGAAGATTTTTTAAGTTTTTACTATATGCATATAGGGAAAATCAATGACCCCCTGGGGCGGGGCCAATTTTGACCCCAGGGCTTTTATTTGACAAAATTGGTAGACACTTATAAGAAGATGTTTCATGCCAAATATCTTAGCTCTAGCTCTATGGGTTCTTTAAAAGAAGATTTTTTAAGTTTTTACTATATGCATATAAGGAAAATCATTGACCCCCGGGGCGGGGCCAATTTTGACCCGAGGGCTTTTATTTGAACAAACTTGGTAGACACATACTAGATGATGTTTCATGCTAAATATCTTAGCTCTAGCTCTATGGGTTCTTTAAAAGAAGAATTTTTAAGTTTTTACTATATGTATATAGGGAAAATCAATGACCCCCTGGGGCGGGGCCAATTATGACCCCAGGGCTTTTATTTGAACAAACTTGGTAGACACTTACTAGAAGATGTTTCATGCCAAATATCTAAGCTCCAGCTCATTGGGTTTTTTAAAAGAAGATATTTAAAGTTTTTTCTTTCGGTTGCCATGGCAACCAGAGTTCTGCATGGAATTAAATTCTTTGAACAATTTTTAAAGGTGACCACCAAAGGAACATTCCTGTGAAGTTTGGATGAAATTGGCTTAGTGGTTTATGAGGAGATGTCATTTAAAGTAAAAGTTTACGGACGGACGCCGGACGAAAAGCGATCACAAAAGCTCACCCTGTCACTTTGTGACAGGTGAGCTAAAAACTCACTTATTTCTAATAGTAGAGTCAATATACCAAATAACTCACATTTTTACAATTGTAAAGTCAATGTACCAAATAAATAAATTATTTTTATCAGAATGTAAACATGGTAAATATACCAAATAAGTTATAACTCTAAAATTTCTAATAGTAATGTCAATATACCAAATAACTCACATTTTCCTAATTACAATTTCAAAATACCACTTAATATTTAATTACAATGTCAAATACCAAAGAATTCTGACATTAGTTTTCAATCAAAATATTTCTATTGTTATAACAGTTATATAATAGAAAATGTTATTATTCATTAATGTGTTTTATAGTTACCCCAAGATTTTCACATGGTTCAGGACTGAGTTCTATAGGAAGTATCAACTGGCTCTTTAGGGACGGCATTTTATCACTCTTCAACACTCGGGACAGGGAGTTTAACTGTCCTGATAACAGAGCAAAGTTATCCAGTAGAGATGGCCTGAAAGTTGTAAATGATATGAATAAAATTTCTAACAGGTACATTTTTGTATGGAATGAAAATCAGAAAATATCTGAACAAAAAAAGTGGGTTTGAAATTTTCAGCTCAATCTCCTTATATCTTTGTTTGTTTGTTTGGGTTTTACGTCACACCGACACAGAATAGGTCATTCGGCGACGTTGCAGCTTTACTGGTGGAGGAAGACCTCAGGTGCCCTTCTGTGCATTATTTCAGGCACGAACGGGCACCTGAATAGAACCACCGACGTTCCGCAAGCTAGCTGGATAGCTTCCTCACATGAAAGAATCAAAAGTCCCTGTCGGATTCGAACCCACGGCGGTGAGGGTCAAGTGGTTTGAAGTCAACGACCTTAACTACTTGGCCAAGGACGCCCCCCTTATATCTTTAATGCAAGATTATCAATTTACACTTATATGTCTTTGGAAAATTAAAAACAAAACCTCATGATTATCACTTACATGTATATAGGATGGGGACTTATTTGTAAGTATCTTGTAATGCCAGAATCACTTAATTCTCAATACAATATTGTAGCAAAAAGATCATCACCACTTTCACTGCAAGAATATAATATACCAGTACCCCAAACCAAGGTTTAAGGTGAAATAATCAATCGATTATTATGATTAACATACCAATTGAGAGTCTCATACTCGTGTTCAAGCTTGAAGATGAGTGCACCAATAGAATTCTTCAACTCACTCACTCTCTGAATCATTGACTCTAGGGACAATTCCAATTGCTTCTCTTCCTTCTGAAACATAAAGCATTATTTTGCATCACCTTTATTTATCTTTGGTAAAGTAACCATGTACAATATTTAGTTGAGAATCAGGATCAACTTGCTGGTATATGTTATATTACGGAAATTGAAATTGCAAGTGTTTTCTTTTTTTCGCTTTTTCTGCCACTTACTTTACCATTTTTCATTGCATAACAGTTATGTCTGACAAGATAAAAAATTTATTACAAATGAATAACATCTCTATCAATTGTCCATAGAATCCATAGAAATGATTTAGTAACGTTTTAAAACATTTTGAAACTGAAGTTCATTTCTCTTAGTATTTTCGCACAGACTTAAAAAAAAAATTGTGATTTTCAGAGAGAAAAAAACTTCCCATCATCAAAAGCCAAAAATTAATCTATCTATACTGAAATTGTTTCATGATATTCAATAATATCTTCGTTTAGAAACACAAGTTTGCAAATTCATTATTGTCTTTGGTTATTTATTGTAAAATTGACATACAGCTAGCCTCAACAGTGCATATAGGCCAGTTGTACATAACTTACATAGGGCTAGAACTTTTGGCTTGCAATACAGGCCCTTACGGCTAGCCACTGCCTTTGGAAAAAGCACGCAAGCAAGCAAATGATCTGAAATTTGGCAAGCAAGTTATTGCTCTAATGACCTATATCACATGGTACATTTATCTAGAAAAAAATATTTTCAGTTCCATCATGTCAAAAAAAACTCTATTTAGTCCCTTTAATGTCTCTAAGCAAGGGTTTGACGAAATATAAGATAGAAACAGTTAGGCTGCATTGGTACGAATTGATAGAAGTCCGAAATGATAAAATTCAAAACAGGCTTCCTAAGTCATGTAAGGACCTACAAATTCTGTGTTTTGAATACTTGGTTGACTTATATTATTTAGAAATAAAACTATACACAATCATTACCTGCATTGCTTAATCTTCGCCTTTATTTTTTATTTGGAAAAATAATTTTGCCCGGAAGCTAACACAGTATTGATGAAATGCGCATGCGTTAAAAATAATATTTAGAGAAGATCTTGACAAAAGCCGCCATTATTAACACAAGACGGGCTGTTGTTCAAATTGGTTAAAGGTAATTATGAGATACTTTTTCACGTGAGTTTATCTGTCCCTTAATTATTTTGTTTTTCTATTTACTATATTAACCCTCTGGTTCATTCACCCACTGAATGGCATGGGTTGAGCTGAAATTTCATTGGCGGGGATTTGCTGACTGATTGAGATGATTGGGCGTCAATTCCTGACCAATTTATTGGTCCGTTACTAAAGTTTTAGCCATTCGTCTGTCTTGTTCTAATTTCACGTGAAACGAACATAAACATTGTAGTAAAAGTTACTCCATCACATGTAATTTCAAAAAAAAAATAAAAAAATGCCCAGACATTTTATTTCCTTCTTCAGCCGTTTCATGACGTCACGGACACAGACCTTTGTTTTAACATAAGCAAAACAAATTATGATTAAACAGTTAACCAATACAATTATTTCAGTAAGTTGTAATGAAAATAAATTTTAAAAACCTTAATCAGTTAATAAATTAAAATCATACAAGGCGATTGTCCATTTTATATGATAATTCACAGACTTGTTTATTCAAGTTTTCTTCAACTTTTTAACAAAAAAATAAATACATGTTTCATTTGTAAAGAGAGAATATTACAGTTTCAGTAAATAAAAGGAAACAAAGTGATCAGGAAGTATAATAGAATGACAAGTTTTGCAAGTTGCATAAACCTGGGACAAAAAAAAAAACACTTGTATTTCTTGTCCCAGGTATTTTTTGTCCCATCTAAACTTTTATATGAAGGCTTATTAAATGAAATAAATTTTTATCAAGTATATTAGATTATGTTCCTGAAATATAAACAGTGAATGCTAAAGCTGAAATAACAAACTGTATAGGATATTATCAATTCATATAAGGTGATTCTGATTAGCTATGCTCAATGGTATATATGTTTAATTTATTTTTAAGAATTATTGCAATTTCTTTCCTTTATCTTATTAGTGATTGAAATCAGAGATGATGAAATATTAAATATAAGAAAATGTTCTATTAAGTTGAAATGAGAATATGAAGGCCCAAATTTATAATAAATATTAATTACAAAGAGTTAGGTCAATCTGTCCATATGATCAGCGTTTTTTTCTCTACTTTGGGAATGGTGCCGGTACCAGAGTGATTGGGAAAAAAATGCGTTATTTTGACTAAAATTGGGAATTTTTTTTAATGCATTTTTTTCAGCTACAAATGAGATTAGACATCATGAATAAAGATAGCTAACAGCTTCTACTGTCAAAATAGAACTATTGAGTGGTGATTTAAATGATTATGTCGGATTTAAATAATTTTAGAAAAATCACTTGGCCTTTTGGGCATTTTGAACAGCCATTTTGGGAATTTAACATTGGAAATTGGGAATTTTAATGTCTATTTTCTATTGGGAATGGTACTGTTTTAGGGTAGTAGTTATATAAAGAAAAAAAACACTGATGATCCTTTGAATAAGCAGTTTGTTGCCTTAACCTTATCATTGATTAATACACGTTAAGAGGTATTAAATACCTATTTTGGAACAATTTTTGTGGTTTAAATAACTAATCAAGTCTTAATTTCTTCTTATTATTTTTTTTGCTTGTATCACAGTACATTTTATGTTATTAACAAAGATTTTGGTTTACACATAATAATGATGTAAATATATTATTTTACAAGATACAGAAAGGCAGTTGAAACTTGTTCACAATGTCCGATCCACCATTTTCTACAAGTGTTCCTGGTGCTGGGGTGTCAACTGAAGCTGCTAATATGTTACAGAACTTTTGGCCGAAGGTTTCCAGTGATATTAGTAATATCAAGAATGTAAGTTTTAACAGTTTATCCATTTAACCTTAAACCTGCTGGAACCAATCATAATAAATCTTTGCCATCCATATAATATAACTGTTGGTAGCTCAATTGTTGTGTATATTTTGATATTGAAATCATTTAAAATTTGAATTGACTGCCAAAGTAAAAAAATGATATAAGTAACTTGCCTAACAAAAATCTGTTTATTGTACTTCCTAAAATTAGATTTTTTAAGTTCCTTGGTCATTACATTATTCTTATTCAAATAAGTTCATTAAAACCAGGAAGTAATTGTCAAGACTTTATATACATGTTCATTGTATGTGTGGTGAAGTATTTGTAATAGCTTGTCTGTATTTAATAATTGCTTTATGTAAGTTATATAAGTAGCTGTCTAATTCTTTTCTTGATGACTTCTGGTTTATGTCCCATCAGCTTACATGTGTGCTTGTCTTACTCATGCTTTTTAAACAATAAACATAGAGTCAGTATATATGAAACACTTCCTAGATTATTTCCTAGTTTCCATTTTGTATTGGATTTAGTCATCAAAATGATATACCTCAAAGTTAACACTCTACCCAAATACATTTCTGCAAAGTTAACATTCTACCCTCTAAATTTGTAGAACCATTGTCATTTGATCTATTGTCTATTTGAAAGCTTGTTTAAAATTCTTATATTTTTTTTTGCAAATGGAAAGAAATATGCGCCCAAAAATGAAGACAGGTGATGGTAATATACCATATTTTCTGTTACAGGATCATTTTAGACAACAAGAGCTACCATTAGCTAGAATAAAGAAGATTATGAAACTTGATGAAGATGTGAAGGTATGTTTTTTTTCGAGTTTATCTATAATATCTGGGTAAAGAATTGCAATACAACAACATCAACTTCTGATCCTATACATAAATAAGTATAAAATAACACTTAGCGTTACAATTCTGCTGAAAGTGTGTGAAATTTTGTATCTCTCTTCACTGGGATTGTTTTACCATTACTTATACAAGTTGCTGATGGGATAAACCAATATGGGAGAATATTGCTTGAATGAGATAAATATTACCTGTTGCTAACCAAGGTTTATATTGACATCAGCAAGAGTCTTTTTCTGTTGTATATCCAGTCAGCAACTTGTATAATGAAATTATTATAATGCAAAGTGTTATTGGCGACAAGTTCATAAGAAAACCCAGAAAATTTAGACTGTTTTCAGAAGCATAGAAAAAGGTGCACTTAAATAAGATTCCTTGGCAGAGTGAACCCTGCACAATAAAAAATAATTCAAATTGAACCTTTTTACCCAGCAACCCAACTTAAAAAGTATGTGCTTTAAGTGGCAAATAAATTTTTAAAGATAGCCAGTTACAAAATGAGTATGATACAGAACACAAATATGCCATACACCTTGCAAAAAATTATCTTTACTTTTTTTCAGATGATTAGTGCAGAAGCACCTGTATTATTCTCAAAAGCATGTGAGATTTTTATCAGTGAATTGTCACTAAGAGCTTGGATCCACACAGAGGATAACAAACGAAGAACTTTACAAGTATGTTATAAACTTACCTTTGTGAATAATTACATGGAGTGTATTCATGAAAAAAGCAAAAAGAAGAGGACATTGACTTAGCCATGGAACTGTACTTAGTTAAAGTGAATTTGCATTTATACAGGGCTGTTTTCCTTCTATAGCAGAGACCCTTTAATTTAAAGGTGTCATCCCCAGGAAAAATTGTTTTAAGATCATGCAGTTAAGATATAATATTCTTTAAGTTTTTTTCTTCTTTTTTGCAAAAAATACTGTGTTATTTCCTCTCCTGCATGTGAAAAAATGCCCATTTATAATGTTTAAATACATGGTTTGCATGAAATATAATAGAGAAGTTATTTTTCTTCCTTTTCAACAAGGAAGATATTTGCTTTAACATTATGTGTTTTACTAATATTATTGCACTTCCATGCCATCTGATACTAATCTGCACTGTTCACTATTCATTCAGTAGTTACTGGGTATTTTAAAAATTATCCAAAAAATGATAGTTATGTCCTGATTGAAAGTTTGTTGAGTCCATTTAAGATATTAAGCAGGTAAGGTAATAAGCTGTAAACTTCCCTAAGTTTTGACTGACATCTTGATCATAATGCTATTTTCAAGCCAATAAATATTGATGTGAGGATAAGACTATATTGTAAAAGTACATAAGTGTTCTAGGTTCCTTAGGTACGGCCTTAACTTGACTGGAGTCATATTATAGTTTCCTTAACACCTTATAAAATATAACCAATGAAATGTCAGCATTTGAACCACATGATGTTTCAATAGAAATCAACATTGGATCAAGTATTATCAATTCAGCCTCATTTCCAAGAGCCTTGTACAATATAAGTTTGTCAACTTAGCACTTGTCCAATAGGATTCAGTATTGAACTTCAACAATGTATCATAACATATAGCCAACCAATTGATCCATGTTCTTAATATTTATTTATGATGATAATTTTACTTGTTTGAAACTTCTTTACAGAGAAATGACATAGCCATGGCAATCACAAAATTTGACCAGTTCGATTTCCTCATTGATATTGTTCCAAGAGAAGACATAAAACCAGCAAAAAGACAGGTATCCTATTAGACAGATTTGTTCCAGGTCATTACTGAATTAATGACAACCAAAAGAAAGGAATGCAAATGTTAACTTTGCAAATAAAATTAATTACATGATTTTCTTAAAGTAAATTGTTATTGAATGGCTTTTATTTAATTCTTCAAATTTTTCAAAAGGTCAGTGTTATTTTGTTTGTAATGTTAGTTAATTTACACTCATTGCTAAGTTGAACAAAGTATCAGTTAAATAAATACATGTATCAAGATTTTGTTTTCTGTGAGAAAGTCAATAATTGAAGATCTGTTGTACAATTAGTAATTACGGAAATACGTTAACATAACAAAAAATCAAGAAATAATTATATATTGATGTTGTTGGCAATTGTGAGATACATGTTCATTATTCATCATATAAATGTTAATACAAAATCATTTAGAACTGAAATAAGTTATTTCTTTCAAAGAATATTTTTTAAGAATATCCAAATGATACATTTCCTTGATATCAATATTTGAAATGTAAACATTATAGACCAATCCACTTTAAAGAAAAATGTTAACTTTAATTTTAAAGGATGAAGTTCGAACCTCCGTGGTACCTGATCAGATCCAGTACTATCTACAACTGGCACAACAACAGCAGCAGCAGCAGCAACAACAACAACAGGCCACCGCTCAGGCAGTTACCCAGGTACAAACCACGGCACAGATACCGCAAGCAACACAAGCTGTCGGAGGGATACAAATTCCAGGTGATTATCTGACTTAGAGATGGTGGAATCAAATGATTCATTTGTAAAACTTGATAATTTATGTTGTTAAGTACTTAAACATTTACTTGATAATTTATGTTGTTAAGTACTTAAACATTTACTTTATAATTTATGTAGTTAAGTACTTAAACATTTACTTGATAATTTATGTTGTTAAGTACTTAAACATTTACTTGATAATTTATGTTGTTAAGTACTTAAACATTTACTTGATAATTTATGTTGTTAAGTACTTAAACTTTAACTTTTTTAGTTGTATATGATCCTGTATTGTAATTGAGGTTGTTACCACTCTTAACTGAACTTTAATATATATATATAATTATGCTTCTAAAACAATCTTCAAACATCAAAGAATATGTAAAATATGTACTGCAAATATTTGTCACATTATATGTAATCATTAAAATATATGCATTTATTTTATTCTTAGACTTTATACAAAATGAATTTCTAATTACCTCCCTTTATTAACATGAAATGTAAATTTGGTAAATAATGCTTTTTGGAACTTACATTATGGATAAATCTTCATTTGAGCATTATATTTATGATATAAAACCATAAAAAAATGAAAATTGGACAAACACGTTTACTCACCAATTACGCAGTATGATAAGAAAGTTTCAGGGAAATCTGTTGGTTGACAAAAAACATGTTTAATATTTACTTAAAACAGAATTATTACACTTAAGATATTCTTTCATGATGGAACACTTCCAATTCCAAAATGTTTTTACCAGGATATACTTCAATAACTTGAAATACAGTCAAGAGGGATAATTGTTTCTACCAAGCCAGGTAATAGTCATTGACCAAAGCAAACAAAGCAAATGGCAAATGAATTGAACAGAATTGGAAATTTTAAGACACTGTGAAAATTTGAAACCCAAAATAAAATAGATAAACAATTTGTTTGCCTTTCAGGTGCTCAGATACTTCAGCAGCCATTCCAGGTGGCCCAACAGGCTCAGGCTGCTGCACCTACTGTAAGTATTACAGATTAATTTATCTCATTAATGATTATTTTGATCCATATTACTGATTGATTTATTTAATTTATATCATTACATGTAATGATTATTTTGATTCGTATTACAGATTGATTCTCATTAATGATTGTTTTCTATTGAATCTTAATTACTTGCATATTTATAAAGAATTCTTTTCAAAATACATAATAATGAAGATGAGGATATATTCTATGTGAATAGCTTGATTTGCTTCTGAAGATTGACATTTGAGCCGTGTCATGACAAAACCAACATAATGGGTTTGCGACCAGCATGGATCCAGACCAGCCTGCGCTTCGCGCAGTCTGATCAGGATCAATGCTGTTCGCTATCAGTTACTCTACTTGTAATAGGGTTGGTAAGCGAACAGCATGGATCCAGATCAGACTGCGCAGATGCGCAGGCTTGTCTGGATCCATGCTGGTCGCAAACGCACTATGTTGGTTTTGTCGTGACACGGCTCATTTGTTCCTTTCAAATAAAGACATCTTCAGCTATGTGAAGCAATCTGCAATAGTATCAATAGATGAAGTTTAAATTTTGATAATCTGTTATACACAGGCACAGTCTCAGGTTATCACGATTCAGCCTCCACAACAACAAGCACAACAACAAGCACAAGTCACTCAACAAAGTCAGGTAAATGTTCACTTGTCTTTTATATACTTAACACCATCAAAGTAATTACAAATTTTGTACATTTTATTGAATATTGTGTAATCATATGCTTCCGTGATTGAGGTTGTTGACATAAAACCACTTGCCCCTCACCGGTGTAGATACAGTTCCTGACAGAGACTGTGGTGGATTCTTTCATTTGAGGAGCTATCCAGCTAGCTTATGGAACATAGGTGATTCTACTCTGGTGCCTGAAATAATGCAAAAGGGGCTCCTGAGGTCTTCCTCTATCAGTAAAACTATGTTGCTGTGATGTACAATTCAACAACAACAAAAATGATTGTATGCCTCCACCTTAACCCAGATTTGTGCTATATCAGTAGAACTGGTCATTCTTGGTTATGAGCAGCTGAGTGTTAAAGTCAGGCTGCATTGAGATGCAATTTTGTAAGACTTCTTTGCACAATTGGGTTTGAATCGCAACAGGTACTTCTGATTCTTTCATGTGTGGAAACTGTACAACTAGCTTATGGAAGGTTGGTAGTTCTACCCCAGTGCCTGCTTGTGTCTGAAATAATATTCAAAGGGGCATCTCAGGTTTCCCTCCACCAAGTTAAAAAGTGACATTTTATGTATATAAATCATGATGAATTATGTTACAGGTTCAACAGATACAACAGCCACAAACACAAGTGTTCCAACAGGTTATCACACCCTCTGGTCAAGTAGAAAACGTACCAGTAAGTATTGTCTTTACAAGATGTTACTGTAATTTCTATGATTAAAAGTGAAGGTAATTAGTCCTTACCCTGCTTGATTGGAAAGTGATCAGCCTTTGCCACCAGTATAGAGCCAGGTCAGCCTGCACATCTGAGCAGTCAAACCAGGCTCTATACCATTGGATGACTAACTTGAAATTTTCGTCTTGATATCCCCAAATTGATAATGGACAGTTCTATACATGTAAATAGAAGTTGGATTCATGTAAATAGAAGTTGGATTCACACATTAAAGAAATTCAGCAAGGTAAAGGTTAACACTTGCTCAAATTCTTTTAAAACATAGTCTTTAATAGGGCTCTTATATTAAAGAAATGTTACTTGGACAATTTAATTCCTTTTTGTAAAAGAAATTGATTTTAAATCATACATACTAGTATTTATCTAACCTCAATCGTGAAATAAGTGCTATCAACATGTATATTTAATCTATAAGGACATTTAAATATATTAATTTATATTGAAATCAAGCAAATATTCCTTTGACTATTTAATCAGTCTGCGAAATTAGCAGTTGTCCAATTGCCCGGGACAACCATTTTTTGGTTCGGACAATCAATTTTTAAAAGTTTACTTGCCCAATGGACAAGTAAAAATTTGCAGAAAGTATTCATCAAAATTTCAACAAATAGTGATAAAATGCAAGGATATCAAATACAATTAGTTTGCATACATTTATGACTGTTTCTCACTTAAGATAAGTTTGCAGATTTGATCAATAATTGCTTGGAGATGTTCTGATGAAAATATTTGGGCAACCAGTTTTTACTTCAGACAACCAAAGTTTCTTGAATTGGTTGCTCAAATGACAACAATTTTTAAACCCTAATTTCACAGACTTTTTAATCACGTGTCATCTGCAGATACATTGTGTAAAAGTTTAACATACATTGCCTAGACTGTTATGTTACTTTCATCAATTTGCATTTCAGATTCAGCTCACACCACAACAGTTACAAGCCATACAAATGCAGTTACAAGGTAAAACCAGTAACCAGCCAATAATAATACAGACATCTGCTGCCCAGCCTCAACAGCCAACACAGACAGTGGTGTCACAGTCGGATCAAGTACAGTTTGCTAATCAGGTACTTTGATATTTTAAAGTTTGGGCTATTAAACATTTGCTCCGTATATTCACAGTTATTGTCACAAAACATATTTCGTCTACCTTGAGAGAAGATGGAGCTCATTTTTGTTTGGTTTGATCACAGAAAATACATCCAACTATAAGCTTTTCCACTTGCTACCACAGATATAAATGATCTATTTGGAGAAGTTGGAAGTTACTTGTGGAAAATTGGTTTAGTAATGGTTTGGAATATAGGCAAAAGTTTTTGTACCCTGGTATTTGGCTGATAAACCATATGCTAACCTTAATCACAGAAATAGGAACTTTAGTTGAAATGTCCACAAAAGTTCCTATTTCTGTTTTGATCACTTGTTGGTTCTCAATAATCAGATAAGAAAATACTTGTTTCTTATACTGAAGCAAATATGTTTTGTTTCACTTTTAGTGCAAGAGAGATAGGTTTTTTTGCATTACAAGAAAATACGCAAACCTGTGTCTTGAAATTTTTACAAATACTTTAACATGCAGTTTCAAATTTATAGTTTGTCAGACAAATATAGCTTTTCTGTTCTGAAATGAATATATAAAATGTGTACCACATAATTTTAACAACAGAAAGCAAATAAAAAAAACAAGAATGTAAAAGAAATAAATTGAAAATGGTCTCTAAAATGTATTCGAGTTGTCTCCCTTTAATCATAAAAATATTTTGGTTCAATGTTTAGTGCTGGTGTAAATCTAGAATTCTTTGGACAGTGAACAATCTTAAACAATTTTTTAAACAATAGATGATTGATATCTGCTTGCTTCTATGTATTAAGCTAACATTGTTGTTGTTTTTCAGGGAGTGTTTCAAGTCCAACAGTTACAAGGCTCAGGACAACAAGTTTTTATACAACAAGATACAGACCAGACGGAAACTTGATCTTAACACGCCATTTTTTATAGACTTTTATTGTATATATTATATACTGTTACCTCAGTAAAGCAGTCATCAAATCATCGTAATATTATGTGGACTATGTTCACATGATAGACTCTTAAACATTGTACAACATGTACATAGACAAAACCATTTGTAAATAATGTGGTTCTCATCTTGATTGTCAAGATCCTTTTTTTATGTGAGTTGTTTGAATGGATAATTTATATGATGTGAAATTATCAAAGAAAAATTGTGTCCAAGACAAACCTGATTCTTGTTATTAAATCCCATAATATCCCATGACCTGCTGGAACCGAAAGTGATTAATTAGCACATCCGTGCAGTATGACTAGGTCTTCCAATTTTTAGATCGACTGTTTTGAAGAAAGTCACGTTGCACTGTTATGCTCGTCATGCAAAATCTTTAATGAAGCTTTGAAACTTGGAATACTTGCTTATCATGATATGTGTAAGCTATATTTATGGAGTAATGCCTCTTTTCAACTTAGAAATTTTGTAGTACAATTCAGTAAATTACTGAATGGTCATATTTTGGCGAATTATAACATTTTAACATTTAAGCACATTAATGGTCCTTACTCTGGGGTGCCTTGAATGCATACATTAGTTTGTCATAATTGGCATAAGAAATAAAATCTCAGTTCTGCTACACGGACCTCTGCACTTACGGATTTGTGATGGAAATATCACCATTTCATAAGCTTCCAATAGTTATGTACATTTTACTTACAGGAGTTATCAGTGGATTCGTTTCAGAGAAATTCTCAAAATACAATTTTCTGTTGGTTTTTTTTACAATAATTTGGCAAAATAAATACCCAGAATTGTAATATTCATGCAGTAAGTCATGGCAAAAGTGAGAAATAATTTGCTTAGATAGGTAATTCTGTGTACAGAAAACATTAATACAAGTGTCATGACACTTATTTCTGGTTTGATTTGTAGTTTATTGAATAAAAAAGTCTTTACAGAATTATTAAAAACGTGATTAATCCTTGCAGTCATCCAATGTTTTGCTGCTCTTTAAATGCAATGACTCATTTGATAACTCATTATGAGTCAGCAAATTGACTTCGCTTACAAAAATAGTTTAAACATTAGTTAGCTCCCTTGAACCATCAAAGTGAATTTTCTGGCTTTATAATTGCAGTTGTCCCCCTTTGTCCGTAAAAAAAAGTCTCCGATTTGCACACCAAAAAAAACGCTGATTCGGGAGTATTTTAATTTATACGAAGTATAGAATATCTTAAACATCCTTGACGTTCTTGTGTTGATAAAAAAGAAGGTACTTCAGTTTTATAGAGTACAAGGAAAATAACTTAATATGATCAAAATGGTTATGACTTCCTGAGATAGTTAGTGCTTGCCTCTCACGTTTTATATTACAAGTCTGGCGCATTTATTTGACCCAACGCGTTTTTTTCTGGTTGTTCATGCAATACAATAAACATATGTGCATGTACTTAAAAAACTAAAATACCATATATGTTGGTCAACAGAGTATATGAATGTTTTATTGATAAAACATATCTGAGGTCAAATAAATGTGACGGTGTAGGGACTACACGACCAGTGTCTAACTATTGAATTTTCTCAACCTGAACAATAATTGCATATTGATAAAGCATTATGTACTTTAGTTGAACAGGGCGAGACTCGATAATTCCCCCATTTTTTGTCCTGGGTCACGACGGTAATTTAATCTTTCAATAATGGCAATCCTTATACAAAGTGTACTTAATACACAAAGTCGGGGCAAATTCGACAATGTCGAGCGGTTTTCAATGGGAATTCGAGATGTATGGAAATACGAGTATTGTACTAAACCTTTTCTTGGTTTCGTTCTTTTATATATCAGTGTACTATTTTAAAGCAGAAAAGACTCCGCTACAGTAAGCACAAAATGGTTACACGATGAAGTCTTCACAACTGCTAGAATGTCTTGGGGTTATGCTTGGTAGATAGTTATTTCATTTTAATATACGACCGATAAACAGTTCAACCAGTCTTGAGCAGCCCTTCAAGGAAAAGGCCAAATCGGCTGCTTAAAACGGGCGAAGTCGCAAATATGTGTCAACAATTTTTCATTATTCATCTATTTATACAGCTATAGAACAATATACCGATGTATATCTTTCAATCATTTTACCATGATATTGTCGTCTGCTAACTTGTAAGGACAATTATCTTTTTCTACACAGTACTGTCAGAGAAATTTCAAGGGAACAGGTTTTTTGAAAGCATACAACATACCATTAAGATTAAAGAAAAAACAAGCAAGTAGTTTTACAATTTTTATTTCAAAGATTTTTTACTTTTTTTTCATAGAAAAATAACCTATAAAATACAGATCATAATCCGACCCATTGAGAAAGTCTCAAAGTGTAAATGTTCATATATAACAATATAAAGGATCACAAGTTTTAATACATACTATGCAGCTGAAATTAATTAAGATGATGACAAATAGTGAACACAAAAATATGCGACATAATGTAACTCTGACGTCATCAAGATTGTCCAGTTTAGAAGCATTTCCTGTGGACGATGGATGGTCCTGCCTCGTCGTATTCCTGTTTGCTGATCCACATCTGCTGGAAAGTGGATAGAGAAGCAAGGATAGAGCCACCGATCCATACAGAGTATTTCCTCTCTGGTGGAGCAATAATTTTGATCTTCATGGTTGATGGAGCCAGGGCAGTGATTTCTTTCTGCATTCTGTCGGCAATACCTGGGTACATAGTTGAACCACCAGATAACACGGTGTTAGCATACAAGTCTTTACGGATATCAACATCACACTTCATAATACTGTTGTATGTTGTTTCATGGATACCAGCAGATTCCATACCAAGGAAAGATGGCTGGAACATGGCCTCTGGGCAACGGAATCGTTCGTTACCAATGGTGATAACTTGACCGTCGGGAAGTTCGTAACTCTTTTCCAATGAACTAGATGATGCAGCTGTTGCCATTTCTTGTTCAAAATCCAAAGCTACATAGCACAATTTTTCTTTAATGTCTCTAACAATTTCTCTCTCAGCTGTTGTGGTGAAAGAGTAACCTCTTTCTGTCAAAATCTTCATCAAGTAATCGGTAAGATCTCTACCAGCCAAATCCAATCTCAAGATGGCGTGGGGAAGGGCGTAACCTTCATAGATGGGTACAGTGTGTGATACACCATCACCAGAGTCCATGACAATACCTGTGGTACGACCAGAGGCATACAGAGACAGCACAGCCTGGATAGCAACATACATAGCTGGGGTGTTGAAGGTCTCGAACATGATCTGGGTCATCTTTTCACGGTTAGCCTTTGGATTGAGTGGGGCTTCTGTGAGCAAGACTGGGTGTTCTTCTGGGGCAACACGAAGTTCATTGTAGAAAGTATGATGCCAGATTTTTTCCATATCATCCCAGTTGGTGACAATACCGTGTTCAATTGGGTATTTCAGAGTTAGGATACCTCTCTTGCTCTGGGCTTCATCACCGACATAGCTGTCCTTCTGTCCCATACCAACCATCACACCCTGAAGAAGATAATAAAACGGTACAAGAGAATGTTTTTTAAATTATTTCATTTTCATTTTTTTAAAGGCGATATAGATAATACGACATTGTGTCGTGGGAAAAGGCCTAGACGCTCATTCTCAATAAAACACAGCATTTGATGTTCCACTGGGTAGCTCTTATACGAAGGTTTTTCTTGAGGTCAAAATGTCGTTAGAAAGGTGGCTGCCACTTTGTCTAATAGGGACACTCTCAGTTTTACATTTCTATCTGTAATTTTTCTTTTACAAGTACCATTAATGCCCTAAAATGTAACATACGTTACTGTCGCCACCTAGAATTTTCAACTTTGAAATTGGTTTCAGAAAAATAAGTTCCAGAATAAACGAAACATGTGCAATTAGTCATTGCTGTGTGTATATGCACTTTGATTATTGTAAAAATTATATTTGACTGTTAAAATCTCATTGGTATAATGGAATGATCAAATGTCGCCAAATGCATATAAATAAATAGTGACAAACCTAAAACAATAAGAAGTGAACCCCAATTACATAATTGAATCGATGCAATGCTTAATAAACAGCATATATATAATTATAAGTAAAAATAAGCTTGCAGCCTCTCAAATATCATTCTATTTTCGGAAATTTCATTTTTTATTCAAATCTTTTCAACAGCACTTTAAAAAGAAAACATACGTTACCATTATTTAAGAGCCAAATCCATTCAAAGAAGATCCAAACAAGAATGAAAATTAACATGTGTGTTACTCTGATATTTAACCACAAATTATGGCGGCTTAAACAGTCTTGCGTCATTTTTAACCCACTTTTCAATGTAAAAAATGAAAACATACGTTACAGAAACATACGTTATCAACTGTTTAAAGTAAGTTTATCAAAAGGGAAATTGAACAGTCAGAAAGCACGTATAACGTCAACATTAAGTTCTATTGACATTAGTAAGTAAATTTTGTTAACTTTGGTCGTGTTTTACTTTGTTTAAGTAACCCACAGTGAAACAAACGTTACTTTTATCAAACAGACTTTATATTGTTTTACACACATGCATATATAAAAACATAAAAATCGCATTTTTATGACAATAGAATGATGTGCATTTGATATCTAAATAAAAAAAAGTCGATTTTACATGTAAGTTTAAATTCCGTGATAAAGTTCATTAAATAAGCGAGTGTGAAACATACGTTAGCTCCAACTTACAATTCAACAATTTTTTGAAATTAAAGATAAAGTTGGGATAAGCATGCCTGTTATTAACGGTTACCTTGTATTAGATGTAGAAGACAACAAAATTGTTTTTACAAAGGAAAGATATGTTAATAATATGTTGATGTACCAGCAGAAATGTTAAAAATATATTACAAGATATTGATGTTCTCAGCAACAACTAATTCGTTTCTGCAAAGAGCTTACTGGCCGTATTTCATTCTATATATAATAATGTTAAAATAATATCCATACATATAAATTATTATTTTACAAAAAGTAAAATTGTTTTCTCAATATTTACTTGCATTTGAATAAAATGAAACATACGTGACACCCTATATGGGGATAAATATTCGAACTGTTTAGTACTAAAATTTTCCAAAATATTAAAAAAGTGGAAAGTTGGATATTTTGAAGAAAAAAAAATGAAAATACAAAATTTGTGTATGCATTCGACCTCTCATATATTATATTATTGATATATATCCTTGAATGAAGGCATAAAATAATTATTTTCAAAAATTGACTTTTTTTTGCTTTCTACGAATATTTCGAACTTTGAAAAATTGACTGAAAATTAGCAAGGTACCCCAACTTCTTTGAATTTTCCTGGGTTTAGAAGTCCCTCTAGATAGAAATTTACAGATTTTGATATATTTTACAGACATTTGTTATTAATATGCAGGCCAATACTATACTTTATCTAGAATCTGAAATCTACGTTTACGGAAGAAATACAGTGTCATTACACGAAATAAATGCCATCCTGTTATAGTACATAGTTCTTGTTCAAAATATTTCTGGCAAACTTGCAAAACTACCCTAAACTTTTACTTCAGCGATAAAAAATGACACAATGACAACATCAAATTTTTAATATTTTTCAACCACAAATGCTTTATTTTATTGAGAATGGGCGTAGAGTCGTTCGCTGTCTTGATTAGTCAGATATTGGCATGCGCCCAAGGCAACCGGCAACATGTAAATGAGGGCCGCTTATATGGATAAATAAAATTTATATGAATGAAAAATCTATACTTAATCAAATTGATATAAAATTTATATTATTTACGTGTCTTTTCAAAGCAGTATCATATGAAAGTGTATAAGGCAGACATATAAGTATTTATCGTTCCGACATCAAGGTGTGGCATATATTAAAAATCAATTTTAAAAAGCTTGAAATCATTTTTTTTAAAGGGGCGTGTCTTTTTTGAAAGGGCAAAACAAAAATGTTTTTGGGGGCGTTTTGTTTTTTAAATTTTAATGAAAATAGGGGGAAAAAGAACTTAAAAATTTTAAAAAATTTGTTTAAAAAATTTTACTAAACCGTGCCCGGGGGTTCCCAATTGAGGGGAAAAACGGCCCCTTGGGGGATCATCTCCGGGAAATTCCCCCCCCCGTTTGGGACATACCCGATTTCCCTTGTGATAAAAAAGAGCGGGTACCCCCCCTTTTACACTTTTTAATTTTTATAAGATATTTTCCCACAAAAAAAAGTGTTTTATTTCAAAATTTAAAAATAAAATGATCGTTTCACCGTCAACCGTTATTTTATATTTTTGCGATCAATATACCCCTTATCATTTTACTTTCGCAGTGCGATTCATTTTTTTACCATATTTTGGGATAGCTGGAAAAAAGCGTCGGTCTCCAAATTGTTAAAGTGATTTAAAATTTTACGGGGGAGGTAGGACTACACATGTATAAAATTAAAAAAGAAATGAGTGTGATGATGAAACTTTAATGGTACAGGGATTTTTAGAAACGTAAAAAAATTTAATTAGGCGGGGGTTTTTGGGGGTATATGATGCTTTGAACGAAAAAATTTTTATGATAAAATTTTATAAGAATCCTTAAAATGACTAAATTTGTCAAATTTTTCATAGAAAGAAAACAATATGTGTTATTTTTTTAGCAATTTATGATATTAAAGATAACAATGTAGGGCCCATCATAGGATGGCACTTTTACCCAAAATGTTTTAATGTTTTGGAAAACGCAAAATTCAAAAGAAACGTTTGAAATGCTTTTTAACTTTTTACACATTTTCATATTTCATTTTTTGTTTTAACAAACCATTTTTAAACTATTTTATTCAGCTATGGTTAAATTTTTTGCCCTTTTTTCTGACTTTAAAATGTTTAAAAAACAAAAAAGGGATATATTTAAAATTTTTTTCGAAAATGTTGTGGGAAATGGGATGTGTAAAATATGTATTGTGGCGATATTTTATATTAAAACAAAGAACCATGCTAATTTTGACATTCACAGCAAACGCAGATATCACTGTAGGCCTATTTATTAAATTAATCAGGAAGATAAAACCGAATAACTATACTGTATATTGCCACTAAGTTAAAAAAAACCCGGGAAAATTTTTTTCCCCTTGAAAAAGCGGAAAAATTAAAGGCCAAAATCCCAATTGTACGTTCGAAGTTTGTTTTCGAAAATATAATTTTGTACTGAAGATTTTTGGACTCGCGGGGAAAATATTTGACCCTGACCGGGGATTTTGTTTTTGTTTGGGGTTTTTTATGTTTTATGAGCTATTGTTGAATAACTGACAGTCTATCATAGACCAAAAAATTATTAAAAAAGTTATTAAATCTGCCCCAAATTAAATTTGGGGCTGGGTTTTAAAAGCCCAAATTTTTTAGATTACAAACGTTTGGGAAAAAGGTTTTAATGATTAATATGTTCGAAAAGTATGAAAAAAATACGATTTTTGTCGAAGTAACGTTATTTTGATACTTTATGGGACGTACAAATTTGACAGCCGGGTGTATTTGGTATTTGAACAGCCCTAGATCTAATAAATTCATCTTGGCAAAATAAATATTTGACATTTAAAGAAATTTTTAAAAATTGTCTTGCATTTTTTCATTAAAGGAAAAAATAAAAAAGATCAAAACAGGGGTGTTTCTATAGAGTATATTAGTAAAATTTTGGGGTTAACCAAAGTATAGAATTTTTTCTTTTTTTTTTTTTTTTTTTTGGAATTGGGGTTTTACACAAAAATTTAATTTCCCCTTATTTTAAACCAAACTTTAGAATATTCAGATGAAACTTTTATACAAAAATGGATCGGGGAAATTAAAATTTTTTTCCCGGCCACTGAAACAGGTTTTTTAAAATATAGAAGCTGTGCAAAAAACCTTAAAAAAACTTATCGGCAAATTTGCGGAATTTTTAATTTTTTTTTTAAAACCATGTGTATGTTCAGGGGCATTGCCATGCTTTAAAAAATGAAAACTTTAAATTTTTACAACTATTATTAAAATTTTAATAAAATTATTTTATTGTTGTTTAATAAAATTTTAATTAATTTCTAAATTTGGCCCCAAACTTTGCAGCTTTTTTTTTTGGGAACGGTCCATTTTTAAAATTTTTTGGGGGTTTTTAAGGGGCTTGTGCGTCTGACCATGCACGGGGCCCAAAAACTTTTTAAACAAAATTTCGAAAGGGTTAACATACATGTATTCAGTTTTAAACATCAAATTATTTTAAAACATTT